CCTGTTAGAATGGTTATAATCACCAAGACAAAAAATAACAAATGTTGGAGAGGTCGTGGAGAAAGGGGAACCCTCATACACTGCTGGTGGGAATGTAAACTGGTGCAGCCACTAAGGAAAACAATATGGAGATTTCTCAAAAAATTAAAAATAGAAATGCCATATGACCCAGCATCCTGCTACTGGGTATCTATCCAAAGAACTTGAAATCAACAATTCAAAGAGACTTATACACACCTATGTTCATTGCAGCATTATTCACAATAGCCAAGACGTGGAAGCAACCCAAGTGCCCATCAAATGATGATCGGATAAAGCAGATGTGGTGTATATATATATATACAATGGAATAGTACTCAGCCATAAATAAAGACAAAATTGTCTCATTTGCAACAACATGGATGGACCTTGAGGGTGCTTTGTTATAAGAAATAAGCCAGACAGAGAAAGACAAACACCGCGTGATTTCACGCCTATGTGGAAAATAAACACAGACAAAGAGAACAGTTTAGTGGTTACCAGAGGAACAGAGTTTAGGGCCGGGCACAAGGGGTGAAGAGGTGCACCTATATGGTGACTGACAAATAACAATGTACAACTGAAATTTCACAATGTTATAAATGTTATAAACTATTAGGACATCATTTAAAAAAAAATCCCTCCCTGAAAGGTTTCATTTGGCCTCCTATTTTGTTCTCTTAGTCCTGAGTTCATCTTGCCTCATGTCATGAAGAATGCAAATCTACAAAATGAAGGACACTGTGTCCTTAAATCTCTGGAGTAATTATTCCCTCAGTCAATAGTTCATTCCTGACGATTAAATAGTTCGCCTTCGCTTTGCAACTCAGCCCAGCCCAGCTGACTTAACTGTTTCTTCCTTAATGGAGCCAGACTCCTCCTCCCCGCACACACGCCATTAAAGCACCATTCAAATAAGTTGCCTGGTGATTTCATCCCACCCATGATATCTAATGAGCCCCTTTATCCTCTATGACCCTCTCACTCTGTCCAGGCTGTATTACCCTAATTTCCAGACTTCTTCAATGGCTTTGTCATAGTCTCCCTGCTGCCAGCCTCTACCCACTCCCAAAGCACCCTGAACAAGATCATCAGATTAATAGTCTGCTTTCCCATCCCAAAACTCTAATGGCTTCTTATTGTCTACAGCACAAAGTCTAAAAGACCAACCTAATATGTAAGACACTTCAGAAGATATCCCTAGTGCGTATCCCCTTCTTCTCCATACACATATCCTTCATTAGACTCTAATTTCCTCACTTCTCCCAAACCTCTTCTCCACTTGGTCTTCCTATTCCTTAATGTCAAAACTCAATTCTTGGCCCTTAGCCCCAAGACTCCATATTTCTTACTTCGTGGAACCTAGAGAAGTAATAGCACCTTGGTGATTAATCAGATATTGCCTTATATTACTAAGTTAATCAACATGAGACTTGATTATAACATAATGAAATTGAGTTCCACAAAACTTCACTATCTTTATCAATATCAAATCAATATCATTTCATATGAATATCATTTCATACCATTAAATAAGAGCCCAAACTGGTGGCTATGAACAAGATCCAGCTTCAGCTTTATGTGGCCATAGAGACTTTTGTTGTTTTAGATTTGAATTTGAAGAATCTGAACATCTTGCGGAAGGCAAGGAGGAGGAATTACACTCTCCATTTCACCCCAGTGCCCATCACTCACCATTATTTCAAACCCCACTGCTTCTGACAGTCACCAATCCTGCCTGGTCCTGAGGGCATTTGAGTTTGCAACACGTTTTGATAGGCACGCTTGAAACATCTCATTGCCCTAGGAAGTCTGGAAACTCCAGGCACAGCTTGTAATCTTAGACTCCGTAGCATGACTTGTCCCCTACCAACAGGCCCCAGCACAATACTGAGCACAGAGTAGAAGCTTAAAAAAATACAAGTTGAGTGACTCCATGCAAGGCTGTGGAATCAATTTGGTTAATTGTGAGGGCTGAGAGACTGGATGTCTCAATGAACAAAGGATGTCAACATTTGCCTGGGTTGAACTTCCCTTATGCAGTGACAAATGTGCTTTCATGAGAACAAGTTCTCACCATGAACCCAGCGCTTCCAACAATGACACCTATTACATACAGTTTGTTCCTGGAAATTATCCCACTAAAACAGGTATGATCAGTTCAAGATACCAATTTGAATGAGTTTCAGTTCCTAGAAGAAAAGGAACAGACATATTTACTTTGGGATGGGGGAGCAGCTTCTGAAAAATGCTATTCACAAACATGATATTCCAATGACAGGAAGTACGAGCAGAAAGCATCTCTTGTTGGCCTAAACAAAAAGTGGTTAACCTTGTTCCAACTTCTGTCAAGAGAACTTAGTTGGCCTGTCACTCTACTGAAATGCTCTGAGTTCATTTTTTTAAACCCCTTGGGTTGTATTATCCAGCATGCACCAGCCTCAGGGACAATCAGGTGACAACCAAGTGGCAGAAAGTGGAAGAAATAACATGAGGTTTGAGACAAGAAGACCAGTGTTTGGAAATTGGCTCTGACACTCATTAACTTCTCTGAGCCTTGGTGTCCTTAGCGAAAAAAAAGGCTTCCTCAAATAATTAAATGAGATGAGAATAATAACAGCTAACACTTACTGAGTGCTTATTTTATGCCAGCCACTGACTCAATGTGCTTTAAATGTGTTAACTCATCTACTTAGGACAACATTATGAAGTAGATACTATTATTGCCTCATTTTATACAGAAAGACACTGAGGCACCAATAGGTTGTTATCCCCCCAACTCACTCAGCCAGGAAATGGCAGAACCAGGACTCAAATCTAGGTGCCCTCACTGCAGAGCCCTCAGCCCTAACACCTGCATGCTCATGCCCTTGAGAAGCACTCGATACAGTGCCTGGGAAACTGAGGCACTAAACACAGGAATGAAGAAAATGATTGAAAGAGAGGGGGCAGGAAGAATGAAAAAACCTCCACTCCATTTCTTTACTGGGATTCCAGGTCTCCCAAGGTTAGATGGTGAGGTCTTTAAAAGACCGTAGGTCTCCCAAGCCCCTCAACATTGTCCTGTCCTGTCCTCCTCTGTGGAAGAAACTGGAATAAATCACACTTCCACACCCACTCGGGCTAAGCAGGACGTGCAGCAACATACCTTGTCTGGTTCAAAAGCATCCCCGGCCGTGGTTACCAGGGAAAAGGGGGGGTGGGGGGAGGGTACGGAGGGGGAAGTGGTGTACCCACAACATGACTAACAAAAATGTACAACTGAAATCTCACAAGCTTGTAATCTATCATAACATTAATAAAAAAAAAAAAAAAAAAAGCATCCCCGGCCAATCACAAACCAAAGGCCCCACACCCACCATTGGGTATTTCAACTCTCTTACCTTAGAGCAAATTCTCTGCCTGGCCAGAGGTCTCTCTTCTCCCTCTTCATTTTACAGTCCTAATCCTGGTGACTCAGCAGCCTAGCAGCCCCCAAATTCCCTTTGCCATTTCTGGGGCAGGCCATGATGGCCCTCGGTGCTGCCATCTCAGAGTTCCTGGTGTTGAGATGAAGATTAGTCCTCTCCGCCGTGTGACCCTCCCACACATACAGAGCAAACCCAGCCATACGTCATGTTGCATTCTCTCTCTCCTATTGGCCCACATGGTCTTGGAGAGGAGGCAAAGCTATGGCCACCACAGAGCCAGCGAGAGCAAATGAGCCCCAGCAGGTGATTCTTATGGGGAGATGAGGAGGGTTGATATCACACTATGGGGTACATAGTACTTTTAAAATAAAGATAAAAAGGAAAGAAAAATACATACTTACAAGGGTGCTGGAGGATCACGCTAAAAGATATACTATCCTGAGGGGAAAATTTCAGACTAGGACCTCCTCACTCTGCGGAAGAAGTTCCGACAACCCAGCCATCCTAAAAAGGACCCATATGCACCAGGGAAAAGCTCTTGTCCGAGGCATGACTGTTTTTGTCAAATTTTCTAGTTCTGAAGATGAAACTAAGCACAGGCTCTTTCCTCCAAAGAAAGCCACTACTGCGGTCCCTAGATCTGAGTGGAGGAGCCGTAGGGAGCAGACTCAAGTTGCTGGAGGACTGCAGCTCTTCTCATTGTCAACAGGGTTCCCGTTACATGGGAAGAGAGGAGGGGCTTCCTCCAAGACCTGCACATCCCCAGGGACTGCTGGAATGGGTCCCCTACTTAGAGAAGGACAGCAGTCCCATCAGGCGGTGCTAGTAGATTCACTGGTCACACATGGACCAGAGGGCATGTCCTTCCCTTGGCTGCCCTCAGAGAGGCCAGAAGGCTCCTTTAACAGAACTCACCGAATAGAGTCATGGCTATTATTAAGACTGGCCGGGGGGCTGGCCCACTGGCATAGCGGTTATGTTGGTACACTCCACTTTGGCGGCCCAGGGTTCACACGTTCAGATCTTAGGGGCGGACCTACACATCACTCATCAAGCCATGCTGTGGTAGCATCCCACATAGAAAATAGAGGAAGATTCGCATGGATGTTGGCTCAGGGACAATCATTCTCAACCAAAAAGGGGAGGATTGGCCACAGATGTTAGCTCAGGGCCACTCTTCCACAACAACAACAAAAAAAAAGAGTGGCCAGTCATTCGGAGGCTAGGCTGAACTTGCACACATAACCCATCAATCCTCTCCAATTACACATTTAAAATAAACCACCTTCTTTTATGTTAAACATATCACAAACACTCTCATTTTTTAAATTTTATTTAACTTCAGGGTCTTTAGGCTTCAGCTGACTTTGGGTCAGTCAGGTGACCATAGAGAAATGGTCTCATCGTATGGTGGCTTTTGCTTGGAGGGCCCAGGCTCCACAAAGGAGATTTTCCCAGGAGCCTCTGCAAACCCAGACCCTGTGAAACATGCTTGCAAAATATGGTCCAGATCTGACAGATGTGCAACTATGAAAGCCAAGAAAGGAATAACAAACTGATACCAGACAGGTGGGAATTTTTATTATGTTTAATGACACATCTCCCCAAAGTAATCCAAACCCCAGTATGTCACAAAATTATTCACATTATTATATACTCCCAAAGCAAAATACCTCAACTGCAATCCTGGATCCAATATGATTCCTCAAAACTGAAATAATTCCTTGAGCAATTAAAAGGTAAAATAGGAATAATTTAAGCAACAGAGTTAGCAGATCAGAAAGTGAGAAAAAGGTAGATTAATTTGTGGGGAAAAAAAAAGGCTTTACCACAACTAGAAGGACCCACAACTAAAATATACAACTATGTACTGCGGGGATTTGGGGAGAAAAAGCAGAAAGAAAAAAAGGCTTTAAATAAGAATGGGCACTTCAGATCTTATCCCTAAACTGAATTAAGGTGCTCAAACCATTTCAAAAGAACCGAACAGTGAATGTAACAGTGTATATTTGAACAATAACTTACATGGGATACCAACTCAGTAGAAATGATTTCCTTCAGCTGCTTGTATACCTTGTTGTAAGTGACCCCTTTCTGAGAATTGTACCACAGTCTTAACGTAACACAGTATTTTTTATTTTTGATGACTACTTAGACGTCAAAATAACAAATTGACAACTATAGTTTCAGACATATCGAGAACATATGAGCAGTTGTAATTTAAGCGTGTTGTCTGTTTTCCAAAAATGGAAACCTTTTGGTAATAGATACCTTTATTTGGCTGAAATTCTGAGAAAAGGATAAATGAGTTTTGTTTTACTGTTTTTGTTTTTGGAGAGTTTTTTTCTCCTTTAATTTTTAATTTCATTTTCCTAATTTGCCTAATGAACGAATTCCTGTGGTCATAATGAGAAAAGAAAACCTGACTCTCACTGAATCTTGTAAAAACTAAAAGGGTGTTAGGGTGTGTAGAGGAAAGCGCTCAGGTTACCGTATGAAGGAAAGATGAAGGTTTCCATTCTCAGGCTGCTCTTCCCTGGTCCGCACCCACAAAGATTGACGTGCCCCCGGTCCCCCTTCCTGGCATCCCCATCCTCTTCATGTTCCCTCAAGCTGTGTAAACATTTCATACAAGTACCCTTCTAACTAATTTTAAATCCAGTTTTCAACAGCCATATTCGAAGAGCCTATTTACTTAAAGCAGTTCTTTCAGAGAAATATTTGAGGAAGGTTTTGTTCCTCATATAAATTATTAAGAATTTATAAATTCTTAATAAAAAGGAAAAAAAGGAGGGCTAGGTGACACAAGGAGGAGTTTAAACTACAGTCCAAAGAAATCAGCCTCCTCCTACAAATGCATCATAGAAATTGAACCTTTAGAGCAAGATCTGAATTCTCCAGATGTTATACTCTGTCTTTCTAGGTTTTCGGTGGACTTCATGTAAATCAAGTCTAACACTAAAAAACAAACAAATAACAGAAAATAGATTTACCAAAAAAAGAAAATCACGTTGACAGTCTTTTCGTGAAGGATTTACCGGGTTATTCCTCTAAATAGCAGCTTCCTCTAGATCATGTAAAATGTAAATTGATTTAGAAAGAAAGAGAGAGAGATTGAGGGGGGAGGGGGAGGGGAGGGAGGAGAAAAAAGAACTTTTCAAGAACACATCCACTGCCCAAAATGAGGAACACTTGAAAAGCCATCTTGATATTTTCATTAGAATTCTAAGTGCCTTCCAAATGAAAAAGCATCTACCACTCAACTATTGGTATTTTCTATTTCAAGTTCAAAACAAACACACAAACAAACCAGAACACAAATTTTCCAGCTTGACAAGAAAATATGAGCCCCAAGCAGCAAACGCTTTAATCAATGACTCTTACCTGAATACAAAAGACTGAGGTACAGGGTTTTATTTAAAGGGGATTAGATACCCGGTGACTCATTACACATAAAAATTGTTGTCCTTCTCTCTAAGGATGTGTCAGTTGACTCGATGAGGGAGTTCTTCATGATGCTCCTCCAGCTTTCATTCAGTTTACCCTGTGAAATGTGAAACTTCATATACTACACGTGGTACTGAGAAAAAGAGCACCAGTCGACACAAGGAGAAGAGTTTACTCTGTTCTCATCTTGGCATGTAGCTGTACCTTGGGACCCCAGGGTTTCTGAGCCCCTTCTGCATTCCCAGTGCAATGAAGCAACATTAGGTGAGCACGACAAAGCAGCCATGTGACCTTGGGCAAGTTACCTGACCTCTTTGTGTAATACCAGGATGATAATAAGCAGAGTATCCACCTCTGAGTGTTATTGTAAGGAGTTAGTACAGTCCTTGGCACATAGTAAATGTGTAGAAACTGCTAGGTGTTACTGAGCTGAACTGTTAAATGTGCCCCAATCAATTCCATTCTATGCAAAAATTATTTTTGAGCATGGCGAGAGTCAATACAGAATTGGGGGGTGTTACAAGTCCCCCATCCTCAAGGCACTCATAGCCTACTGCAGAGATTCTCAGTCCTAAATGTGCATTAGAATCTCCTGAAGAACTTTTATAAAAATACTGATGCCACCCGCAGAGATTCCAACTAAATTGGTCTGGAGTGGGGTCTGGGCATCAGTATTTTTCACCCCCCACCCCAGGGGATTCGAATGCTCATTGAGGACTGCTGACCCAGGAATCTGCCTTGTGATTTGGGTACATGCTCACTGCCTGTGTGGTCTGTTGGATTCTGAAAGAATCAGGAGCTCCTGGGATGAAGGGAGGTGTGTCATTATCCATTGCATCAATCTCTGCAGGCCACCAAATGCCAAATCCCTCAGAAGCTGGTGACCAAATCAGACAGGGAGAGCCCTCAAGGTTGGACATTAGAATCTGTGTGCTGGTTTGCTTTTTGCTTCAGTTGTAATGGAAATGAAGGGGCCCCTGTGGGAGGAAGTCAAATGGCTCTTGCGTGCCCAGCAGAGACAGGGGAGGTTGGAAGGCATACCAGCCACTGTTGTAAGAGACGGAGGCCTAATGAGCTATGACAGAATCAGAAACCAGCACTTCAATTAATTTTTGTCCTTCATTTTTTTCTTTTCTTGGGTTACTTCCTTTTTGCTATTCTTTAATTTTAGAAAAGTTGTGTGCTATAATTCTTGTCTGTGTCTGAGGAAATCCAGGCCTGAGTTCCTTGCCCACCCTCTGGTTGGGAACATTACAAGTAGACCAGCTCCCACTGAAGCCCAGCCACTGCAGTGGAAGCTGGGATCACAGGGAGCTGCCCACAGGGATGGGGAACTCAGTGGGCCAGAGTTGGCGCCATTTGGTCAGTCTCCCCTCCCTTCACAGAAACTTCCCTTCCAGTCCTCTGTCCTCTTCTTGGGAGGGTTTTCATAAGGAAAAATAACTATAATACAAGACTTAGGGAAAGGAGTACTAAGTGGAGGCATGAGGAGGAACAGAGGGCAGAGGGCCTGGCTCTGCCTGAGGGACCAGGAGGTTTCACAGAGAAAGGCCTTGTACGCCCATCTGTGAACGTGAAATCTCAGTGAGCACATACCAGACATGGGCAATCAGCTCACGCACTTGGGAAGGGCCATGACACAGAGGCAATCACGCCTTCCAGGAGAACTAGGGATAATCTGCGGGGGGAGGGGCGGTGATTATGGGAGTTTTTTTGCAGTAAAATTCACATAACATAAAATTCACCATCTTAAAGTGTACAAAGGATAATCTATTTTATGTCAAATCATCCTGAATAAGGAGAAATAGACGTATTCCAACCCCTTCTGCCCATTTCTTCCACCCATTCCTTGGTCAGACAATTGGACTCATTGTTTATGGTCCAAAAATTCCTGACCTTTTTGTGATAAGAATCTACTTTTTCATTTCCCCCAAATCAGCAGATCACTAGGAAATCGGGAGAGGAAAGCTGATAGACAGTAAAAGAGCAGCAGTGGAGAAGGGAAGGGACGAGAATTGGTGCTGCAGCAGGAGAAAGTCCTCGAAAAAAGCAGGGAAGGGGATAGGTAGTGGAGACCAACCAGGTCCTCTGCTGAACGCTCCCCTCGGGCCTATCTTCCTGGCCACAGGGTGATTCTGGCTGACTCGCTTGAGTCACCTGACCTTGCTTGTTTGATCTTCCCTGGATTCAGTGAGATACTCAGCATCTTTCTAATAAATGCTCTGTTTGCTTAAGGCGAGCCAAAGTCACCTTGGGTTTTCTACAACCTTAAAAACCATCACTAACACAGCCCTCCAGGCCCCAGCCTCACCAGGAATCCAAAACCCAAGAAGTGGAGGTAGGGGGAGGAGAGTGTGGAGAGCTTTCAGACAAGGCCTGCGAGTATATTCCAAACCATTGGCTGGGAATTCATGTTATGTAGAAAATCTATTTTCTAAGACAGAATTTACTAATTTTTTTTCCTTCCTCTCTATCCCCTCACATCAGTGTCCACATGTCAGCTGGTTCAGGGCTTTATGTAACTTGATGTTCCCCTTGTTGAAATTCAGTGCAGTTTGGCATTTGGTAATCACATGGGCCATACTCCCTAAGTGGTAATTATGTGGGCTACGTTCGTATAACCACCTAATAAATGCCTAGATGACTGTTTTGGCAACTGGAGATTAAGTGGTCCAGAATCCATCCTTTAATCTACCAAGGAGAACATTCTATGGTAGAAGCCAGCAAATGGGCAATTACTGAGCTGCCCTCCACATTCCTATGTGCTGAAGACAAGGCGGGCAGTCCTGGCCAGCCCTGGAGCAAGGTGATTTGTGCCCTAAGGCATAAATGACCTTCGAACCAGACTTTCAGGAGCCTAACTACAGTGAAAACCTAGCATGTCAATCCCACACTCTTTTATTGTTTAAAAAGACTCATAATTATTTTGATGTTGCTAGAATGGGGAACTACACAATACAACACCATAGGATCCTTGTGGGAGACGTTCTAGGACAATGTCCACAAAGTCTGCTTGGGTTCCAATGGGCTCTGCTCTGTCTTTCTCTCCAGGGTTCTTCTGTCACATATTCTAGGTTTGAAGAAGCAACAGAATGTAATGGCTAAAAGTATGGTCGCTGAAGCCAGACTACTCACATTCATATTCCGAGCTGTGCCATTTACTAGCCACGTCACCTTGAGCAAGGCCCCTAGCCTCCCTGTGCCTCAGTTTCCCTGTCTGTAAAATGGAACTAATGATAGTATTAACTTCATAGCATTGTTGTGAGAATTAAATATTAACTTATTTAATGCAAGTGAAGTATTTGGACCAGTTCCCTGACACTCAAGAAGCACTTAGCAAGGAACAGCTACTATTATTCTGGGCCTGAGCTAGGAAGGAAAAAGAAGAGAATACCTGAGAAATGATGATACCCCACAATATTGCCAAATACTTGTCACATATCTGAATTCTAGATTTGCCTCGTTACCTCAGTCAACATTCACTCACAAACAGTATTTCCTGAGCACCAACCACAGTGGAGGGTCATCGGATGCAAGGAGAGCGGCAGGGTGCTGGGGGGAAGTTAGCATCTTATTCAGGGCACAAACCTAGGATGCGAGGCCGAGTTCATGTAAGCTAAATGGCATTCCATCGTAGTGCACTAAATGCTGGCTAGAAAATAGGGGACAGGACAGACAGAGTCCCTGACCTCGTGAAGGTTTCATTCAAGTAGAGGGGGCAGATTTTAAACAGTCAACCCATATAAAAATATAACATCAACTGTGTCATACTTTATGAAAAAAAAGTGCAAGGTGCTAAAAAATATACCTCAGAGAGGGAGGGAGGGTCATGGAAAGTGATGAGACCGGAAGGATAAACAGAAGTGGCTAAGCAGAGTCAGGAAGTATTCCAGACAGAGAGCAACACATGCCAAGTCCCCAAGGCAGGAAAGAGCGTGTATTCAAGGAGCTGAAAGGGGGGCCATTAGATTAGGAGTGAGAGAGAGAGAGTGAGAGAGAGAGAGAGAGAGAGAGAGAGAAGTACAAGAGGAGGCAGGATTCCTGGCAGGTGCACATATGTGCTATGGTTACTACACTGAGTGAAGGAAGAACGTGGTTCTTAGACCTCCTCCACGTCTCCTGTCCACCCCATTTTCTAGTTACTTCACATTGACAGTGGGAAATTGAAATTGCTTTAGTAAATCAAGCAGCACTTAAGCTGCTTACTTACATAAGACAGCAGCTCAAAAATATCTCTTTTCATGCACTGGGTATTTCTTCAGATGGTAGCTGGGTCTTTCAAGGATACAATTTACTTTAGAGAAAGAATCTTCCTACAATAAAAAACAAATCCAGCAATTGCATTACTCGTAATGTAATATAGATCAATGCTATCCAGATGTGTAATTTTGCATTTAAGAGGTCTGTGAATCCCATATATGCTATATATGTTGGGTTCACTATATATGTGTGTACATACATACCCCTCCCTCTTTCTTTTTCTTTCTTTTTTTCTTCATTTTAAAGGGAGTCCCCTACTTGAAAAAATTAGGAATTAAAAAGCAAAGCCAATTGTTTTTCTGAGAGGAAGTAAAGTAATTCACTGCCCTCATGGTAGAGTAGTCAATATTCATTTATAAGTGTCATCCTATAAATCTAGGATATGTCAGCATTTAAATAAGTCAAGATGACCAATTCAACTACATGGTATGGTTAAATCCAATCCCTGGGGGCATGTTAAGCTTTCATTCGAATTCTTCTGAAATGGTGACAGGTCACTTAGCTGTCGGTACACTGCAGCAGACAAAGTCCTGGGTCTATCTGTCTATGGATCAGAAACACTCCCCACCCCCATAAAAGTCAAACAGCCAAAACACCTTATTAACTTTTAGAAAAACATCCTTCCATGTTGTGACCTTACACAGACCACACACATTTTGCTGGACTCGTCCCTGGCTTGGGACTCCTGTGAGCAGTGGAAGGGAATGTGCTACAGGCCAGTTAGACTGTCTTCTCTCAGTCTTTTGAAGGACCACATCCCCTCCTGCTGCAGGACCTCTACTTGATCATGCTGTGCTCCCAATTAGCTGCTACTCATCACTCATTGTCAGGTTCCATTGTCTCTTTCTCAGGGAAGCTTGCCCTGACTCCCAACCAAGTCAAATACCCACTTTCATACACTCAAAGGACACCATGTACCCTCCTTGGTAAGCATCACAATTTTACCTTTATTTCTGTGGTTACTTGATTAATGTCTGTCTCCCTCACTAGACTGGAAGTCCCAGTTCCCATATTATTTTATCAGCAAAGATCTAATGTTATCAGAAGTCCTAACCTTGTCTAGGTGCTGCTGAGCTCTGTGGGATGTCAGAAGACTGCATACCCTTTCATGGATCTTCTTCCATGTAGACTGAGAACTAGGATGGAACCTGCACAACAGAGTAAACAGGGTGGAGTATTACGCAGCTACTAAAAAGCATATTTAGAGTACATAACAGTATGGGTTGATATTTATAATTTAATAGCAAGAAAAAAACAGCAACATGCAAAATAGTATACATAGTGTGGTTTCAATGTCAATGAGCCTATGCATAGGAAAAACATTGAGGAATAAAAACAGCTAAGCTGTTAAGAATGGTTTGTGTTTGGGTGTGTGGCTGTGAGTGATTCTTTTCTTCTGTGTACTTTACTGTGTATTTCAGATATTTCTCCAAAGACTAAATCCTGCTTTAACATTTAAAAATTTTATCCCAAAAATTTTAATTCAAAATTTAATCCTAATTAAGAATTTTATTTTATATCTCATTACTTTAGGCCAGCCAGTCCCAAGCTTAACCACAGGTCCTGCAGTGTCTTTCAGTTCCTCAACATGAAGCGTTTTCTCCCTTTCATGGGCATTCGCAGCACTGCTCCCTCTGCCTGGAACGCTGCAACCCCCATCCTCATCCCCACTGGTGTTAACTCCCACCCACCCTTCAGAGCTCAGTTCAATTCTTCATCTCTCAGGAAAGTCTTTCCTGAACACCCTCCTGTCGAGGAATGCAGCTTCCTGTTATGTGCACTTGGAGTCCACTCACCCCTCATTCACAGAACTCCCCCCAGTGGATATTCTGTCATTACTTGGTTAATATCTGTCTCTACTCCTAGACTGAAATTGGGACTGAGATACTTTGGTCCATAGCTCATCCCAGGGCCTAGCAGGAATTGAATATTTCTTGAATGATTAAATTCATCCATCTATTCATTCATTCATTCATTTTAGGGAGGAGAGTGGGTACCAAATCCTAAATTCTGAGGCAGAATTAGCATTTTGGTCATGAAAAGCACAGATATTGAAACACCTAAGGAATTTTAGGAATTTGGATAAAATCATTCTCTTTAGTTAGTGTACAATAAACATTGGAAATGACAGGAACATTAAGGGAATCAATCCAGTTGTTAGTCTAGCCACCACACTAATGAGCCCCTGTGTGGGTGCCTCTCTGCTTGGTTTAGGACCCACATCCAGGCCACCTATCCAGCTCTCTCATAACAAGCATGTCCCACTGGTTTCCAGGGAGACAAGACCAAGAGCCTGAGTGGATCTACACAAATCCATTACCAACCCAGGAAAACAACTCAAAGCAAATGAAAGCATCACCCAAAGCACGGCCATGTTTAAGAAAAGACAGGCATGTCACTTCTATACTCCTCTAAGAATTTTTAAGAGGAAGGAATAGAAATATTTTGAAAGCTATAAATAGTTAGCATTTAAAAATAGCCACCAGCTGGACACTGTAAATGCTTTTTCATAGGTCTTGAGTAACCAGTGCCAAAACGATTCCTACATTTGTTACCATTACTATCATACACAGTCAATACTACATTTGAAGATCTTTGAGAATGATGAGTCAACAGACAGGAGCAGACTGTGCCCTCATTACAGCCTTCACCATCTCCAGATGGTGGAGGTAGGGAAGAGGCTCGGGAGAGTTCCTCCCTCTTTTGGGACTACCATTTCTCACCCTTTTAAAAGGATTCTCCACTTCCCCCATTAGAACATTGGGCGGACTCACTCCCAAATTTGTCTCCCAACTCATCCCTGCAACCTCGGCCCTGGCCGATTTCCATACTAATCTAGCAGAAACTCAAAAGGTGTTTTTCAGGGGCTGGCCCCGTGGCCGAGTGGTTAAGTTTGCGCGCTCCGCTGCAGGCGGCCCAGCGTTTCGTCGGTTCGAATCCTGGGCGCGGACATGGCACTGCTCGTCAGACCACGGTGAGGCAGCGTCCCACATGCCACAACTAGAGGAACCCACAATGAAGAATACACAACTATGTACCGGGGTGCTTTGAGGAGAAAAAGGAAAAAAAAAAAAAAAATCTTTAAAAAAAAAAAGGTGTTTTTCATGCGTCCCAGTGATCCGGGCACAGGGAGACTGGTCCCAGTGTCTGATGTGAAAAGAAATGTGGGGGCAAAGTGCTGGTGGCACCTAGTGTTCCAGGGGCTGCCTCCGTGCTCATGCTGAAGGCAATGAAGAATGGATTCTTCCCCAAGGATATGAAGGGATAGCTTTCATTCAAAACAACTGTCTTAGGGGCCGGCCCAGATAGTTAAGTTCACATGCTCTACTTCAGCAGCCCAGCGTTCACTAGTTCGGATCCTGGGTGTGGACCTACACACCATTGCGCATCACCATGCTGAGGTGGCATCCCACGTAGAAGAACTAGAAGACCTTACAACTAGGATATACAACTATAAACTGGGGCTTTGGGGAGGGGGTAAAAAAAAAAAGGAAGGCTGGCAATAGATGTTAGCTCAGGGCCAATCTTCCTTACCAAAAAAAAATCAAAACAAACAAACCACCTTTAAAAAAGAAACAGCTATCTTAAAAATACTATCTTCAGTGCCACCTCCCTGGAGTTAAGGTGACCAACTATCCTGGTTTTCCTGGGACTAAAGAGTTTCCCAGAATGCAGCACTGTCAGGGTTAAAACCGGGACAGTCCCAGGCAAACCGGATGCCTGGCCACCTTACTAGAGAGTGCAGTTTGGAAAATAGAGCTTACTGCTCTCCATCTCTGACTTACCCACCAGACATGTGCAATCATGGGGTTTTTTTAATTTATGACAATAATATAAACAAACCATGTCTAGAAATATACCCACATGTTAATAACATTTGTCTTTGGGTAAGAGGACAACGGGTGACTTTTTTTCACTCCTTTTTGGATTTCTGTAATTTCTAAACTTTCTATAGTGAGCAATTTTATACCTGAGAAATCAAAAGCTTGAGTTTTTAAGTTTATGACACATAAAAGTGGATAAATAGTATCTTCGTCAAGTTAGCTATGTGTCCCATTTCCAACAAACATCCTGAGATAGGCTTTCCAGAAGCAAGGGAAAAGGCTCAACTCTTACTTTGGAGAAGTAATCTTCCCCAATTTTTCATATCAAGGTGTCCTAAAGAAGCAAACTGATGAAGTGACCCAGCTTTACTCCTGCCAGACCACAACACACCCTTGGAGCAAAGAGATGGTGCTTGCCACTGACCTTCCTCGGAGAAGGGGCTGATCCAGAAGAGGGCTGGGAGACCTGCAGTGCTGGGAGGCGGCAAATGAAGTTTCCCGACGGCAATCGGCATCCCCTTGGTCACTGTAACTGGGCGAGGGCTTTCCAAACTTACTCGAATCTAAGGGTGATGGTGACTCATTCCTTAAAACAATCCGTTCATCTGGCTCTTTGACAACCTGAGTGACAATGTACATGATTCTTTAGTTGTCGTTTTGTTTCTGTTTGGTGGGGGTCAGGTAGGACAAGGAAGAGAACTGGGGACAAAATGACAGTCTCCCTGCCCCAGGGATCTCCTGCAGTGAGCAAGGGGCAGGAGTAGAGAAGACTAGAGACAAGGTCAAGGAAAGATAACCAAAATTCTGCACATTCGACATGTATTAACAAGCCCAAACAACTTAGGCTCTTAACTTTGATTTGTGAGGATTAGGATTATTGGGTTTGAGAGAGAGAACTTTTAACAAAATATTTAAATGCTATGGCTTAACAAGCACAGGATAATACTCCATTTTCTTTGCATACATCTAGTCCCAAGTTGTAACACAGAAGTTTGTACCTTCATTTTGACAAGCCAATCAAACTTCAAGAACAAATGATTTACCACCTCTAAGTATAAAGGTATTCATTAGAGAAAAAGCAACGAAAATCCCTACTGATACAGTAGAGATTGGGCCTACATACATCCCCATTGGTGATTCGTCCTACAAATGAAAAGAGCTTATACGAGGGGAACAAACCAACTAAAGCAAAGCAAAGCATACAGCAGACCTAGGCACCTCTTACGCTCTAGTTAAACTATAGCAATTCCATAAGCAGCACTAGCTAGAAAGATACTGTCCACCACTCACTGGAGAAAGCACAATAACTGACATTAGACAGCTAGAAATAAATCATTTTACAAATGCTACTTCTAAAATTACCTTTATGTTAGCTGCAAGGCTGTCAAAAGAAGAAGCTAGAAGAAAGAGGAACAGGTGTTTCAATGACTCAGTATTACCAGTTATCCCTAAAACTGCTGTTACACTTATTCCACAGCAGTACAGAAATATCATACGATGAATGAACTATTAAAGAACTTAAATGCTCCTTTGTAAATTACACTATCACTTTTAAGTCTCCCTTGAGTCACAGCAATTCTGAGTTTTTCTGTCCTCTTGAGGCAACAATGAGGTTATATTATTAATGACAGCACATATGGATATGGGAAGGATAAAAGAGTCTAAAGTGAAGCAGTAAGTTCAGTAACCCTTACGCAGCCTAGAAAACTCATATATGCCCAGGTGCCTAGAGCCTAAAAGAAAGCCATGTGGCTCTACTATAAAATTCATCTACTCTGCCTCTTCTGCCATTTCCTTTATATTTAGATTTCATGGAATCCTATTTATGTAGGAACTCTTGAGTATACTTGTCCAAGGTAGGCACAAATGTTATATTGACACAATGCATACATAAGAGCTTAGAGAAACATAAGGCAGCAAAAAATGTAAATCATTACAATTACCGTAAGTAACCGTAATAAGCAAGTAGAATTAATGCCAGAGAATGGTAAGAATGACTAGGAAATGAAGTGATAAAGACACATAAACAAAACCAAGATCAAATTGGATTTTTCCAGGTTGAGAAAAAAAATGCTTTTGAAATGAGTATTTGCAAGGCTATGCTAAGGCCACCATGGCTTCTCCCGGTGTGACCGCGCTTAAGCGGTGACAAGGGGCTTTTCCCAGACTGCTGATTCCCCTGTGCCACTGGCAGGAAGAAGGAAGATATGAAAAAGGATTTTAAAGCCTGGTAATTGTCATATCTTCTGGGCATGTGCGTATGTGTGTATCCATCTTGTCCCAGAAGCTCTCTTCTCCCAGCTGAGCAAGCAATGGGCCATGCTAAGGCCCTTTTCAGGTATAGCCACAAACCTGCCCTGTGGCCTCAGAGCCCCCTGGCCACTGGTTTTGAGCACTCCTTTTCACAGGAGACTTGCCTTTGTTCCCTTGCTTCTCAAAAGTGCAGCCTTTGGACCAGCAGCATCTGTATCACCTGGAAGCTTGTTGGGAAAGAAGGAGCCTAAGCCCCACCCCAGCCCTACTGGATCTGAATCTGTACTTTAACAAGATCCCCAGGTGATTCAAATGCACATTCAAATTTGAGAAGCACTGCTTTATTCTACCTTAGGCCTGGATGAATGAGCTATCAGGTGACCTAAGCAAAGGTGTGGCTTGGAAGCTACAGGGATTCCAAGGATCTGAGCCCAGAGGTCTGAACGTCTTCTCTAAATGTAGGTATGTGCAAAACTTGGTGTGTGACCTGGACATACTCTGTAACCTCTCTGGAACCTTAATTCTCCACCTGCCAGGATTAAAAAAGACAAAGGCCGAGACCAATGTGATGTATGAGTCCCATCGCTACTGAGCCAGCATTAAACCCAACTTGTCCTCCCCAGGAAAGGACATTTGCTGTTGCTTGATTTCACAGTAATAGAGAAGACAGTGCTGCTTTTATAAGCTACACGGGTGATTTCCAATCCAAAAGACTTAAATTAAATGTCAGAGGTGATGAAGCACTTTCTACTTCAAACTCTGTACTCTGTCCTTGGTTGGCTGCTGTCGAACAGTCACCATGATCCAAGAACATTGGATTCAGTTACCATAAGAGACTGTGCAGCCCCTTAAAAGTATAAACCTTTAAGCCTACGATAGGGAACCCTGTTGTCAAGGATGGTAAGGTCCAGTCCCACCAGCCCCATTCAAGAGAATGAGCCACCACCATCCCTTTCTAGCCTAAGAATTTTTATTAAGTTCAAGAATGGTTGAACTTCACTGCCATGACCTTCAGCATTGACATGGTTCACATATTTCAATCATAAGGTAAAGGCCTCCAAGGGATGCCTTAACCCAGTGACTCTCAATGTGTGGTCCGGGGACCTCCCCAGGGGTCTCCAAGACCTTTCAGGAGATATGGAAGGTCAAAACTATTCTCCTAATAATACTAAGGCATGAGTTGCCTTTTCACTCTCATTCTCTCACACTTTACAATGGGGTTTTCAAAGAGTTACATAACATGTCATCACATCACCACTCTGATGGATAATGGAATGTGTGCTTGTGTATTCTTGTATTTTACAGATTTCTCAGTTTTAATTTCTAATACACTAAACATTAATAGATACCATCCACATAAAAAGAGCTCTTTTGGGTCCTCCATAGTATTTAAGGATGCAAAAAGATCCTGACACCTAAACATTTGAGATCCCCTGCCTTAACCTAACTGCTTCAGAGAGAGTGGCTCCCCTCCTCACTAACATGGAACCTTGGAAGCAAATGTTCTGTCTCCTCATCTCCACCATTCCCCTGCTCTTTCCCATCAGAGAAAGGGCAAGTCTTATTTATTAGCTATCAATGGTGCCTTTGCAAGGAGTTCACACCAGGACAAGTTGCTCCCTAGTTTTCCAACCCAGCCAGGGCACAACTACCATCAGGACATGGTGGGTGATCACACTACTCAGAGCAGTCTCCTTCAGTAGCTAGGGGACTCAGGAACTTCTCAGCTGACTCTGCTCATGGGAACTCTTGCCCTGGAAACTCCACAGCTGGAGGGCACCTGAAATTAGGCTCCAAGTTTCCAAAGTAAACTGTGATTCCTCAGAATGAAAGAAGGTTTAGAAATAGAATACAGTTGTCCCCAAAGGGAAATGCACAGAAGTAACAAAAAACTCGAGTACCTCTTCTCATTGGAAACGGAAAGTTTGAAAACTTAGACTTTCTTCTAGACTTCCGGGAATGATGCTCTGAAACATCCTCACCAAAGGGCTTTGCACTGTCCACCTGAAAGTAAAGAAAGAAGACTTGAATCCACTGTGGCTTGTATTACCATCTCCTCCTTACCTGAAATGCCCTTCTCTCCCTCAACTACAGGTGACGCAGGTGAGATAAGCAAAAGCTGAGAACAAATTAAATCAGTCTCCACAGTGCTGTCCCCAATAGGGGAACCTGTCTGTCCCTATCTTCATCGAGGCTAGAACATGAAGATATGGACTAAATTTTAGCATAAAGAACATAACACAAATTATATTCTAACCACTGGTAAGGATTGAGCCCAGAAAAGAGCAAGTGAAGTTTATTTCACAATCTTTACAAGAGGACAGAGTTTCATGTTTCTAAACAGCCTGAGCCGTGCTGGCCTAGGTGGGGTCCTCCCTGAAGACAAGGGATTATCACAAGGTGACTTTTCAGCCTTCCACATTCCCTTCCAGTCTGAGTGTCCATATCCTTGAAAAAAAGAATAGTGGTGACTGTATTATTAAGGTGACCATATTTTCCTAAATTGGACAACATGATCTGCAAACAGGTCAAAAGACTTGAAATAGGGACTCTTCCAGAATATCTATGACATAGAGTTGCTGGATTTTTTTAATCTTGTTTATTTCTGCAGTTTTTTAATTTCAAGAAGACATGTTATAATGTTACTTTTCATTCTACCTCAAGAAACATATTCATTAGAATTTACAGTCCTTGACAACATCAGATTCTCTAAGTTTTAATGCTTCTACTTAAAGAAAACAGATATCATCAGGAAATCTGGCTAAATAGAAGAGTTAATATGTATAAAACACTTAGAAAATAGCTTGGCACACAGTAAAAGCTGTATGAGAATTTGCTAAACAAAAATATAAGCAAGTTTTGGGGCCAGACCAGTGGCGTAGTGGTTAAGTTCGCACAATCCGCTTCAGCAGCCCAGAGTTCTCAGGTTTGGATCCTAGGTGTGGACCTACACACACGCTCATCAAGCCATGCTGTGGCAGCATCCCACATACAAAATAGAGGAAGACTGGCACAGATGTTAGCTCAGGGACAATCTTCCTCACCAAAATAAATATACATAGATATATATAGATCTATCTATCTATCTAGATAGATAGATCTATAGATATATCAAGCAAGTTTTAATTCCCTAAGAAATCCACCAAGATTTTAAGGTTATTTAGCCCATAATAGCATAGACTAAAGTTATATTTTACAAAAATTTATATCACATAGAATAAATCAGACTGTCCAATATACTCAATTCAACGATATTTTATGAAGCCATGTTTACTAATTGGCTGCTAGATTTTTGCCACATTTTTACCCAGGTCACCATGAAGAAAACAGCTATTCTGTAGTTTCTAACCAAATGTCTCTTTTCTACCCACAAACCAACTCTACATATGGTCATCTTAACAGCACTTTGCTTCATTTCTTGTGTCTAATACACAAACATCATCACTAGTGACTTTGAGTTAAATTATCAACTTGGCAATAATATTAACAGTTAACATTCTGGAGAATAAGTCATGAACTAGAAGATGGAACGTTGTTCATGAAGAACATGAAATAATATAGCAAAGGCTTTTAAGGTAATATTCACTGTAAATATCAAGAAACTAATCTGTATATACAGTATAATTATAATTTTTTAGAAAAAAAGGTGGAAAAAGTTCATCAAATTAAATAAAACAATGATTTTATCATGCTGGTGAGCCCATGGGTAATGTTTTTCTTGAACTTTTCTATATTTTCCATTCCTTTTATAGTAGTCAAAAAAATTTAACAAGACTAGGAGAACCAGTGTGATTAAATTTGCCCACTGCTTCCTAAGGGCTAAATCTAAGATAACTTTAATTAAGGGCTTTGAGGATGGCACATCATTGCTTCTTCCTGTAGACACATTTTTTCTGCTCTTTAAAGTATTAGCCACTGAGTAACAAACTCATTAAGAAAACTCAAGCAGTTTTCTTTAAAACTGATGAAGCTTTAGTTTTAGATGGGTACAGAGTATATGCCAGCCTTTGTTACGCATCTCCTACCCTTGTCAGTTCACTGATTCTTCTGGATAATGGCAGGTTATCATACGTAGACATTATACTCTATTAATAATTTTCGAAAATTAAAAATAGGGATGGCTGACATATACTGAGCAAGTCCTCTGTAAAAGATATCTTTATAGGAGTTTCCTAACTATGAGTCTAGGAAATGAACATAATTTAATCATCGTTATTATTCAAGCTGAATTCCCTCTTTATTTAATATTACCCATTTGTTTTTATGGCCCAATCTTCCCATATTCCACACTCAGTCACACCCTCACCATTCCAAAGGACTCTGAAAAACAATTTTTAGCTCACATGTCTAACCACAAATGGAGGTTTGCTTTGTCTAGAGATTTTGAAATCATTTCCAAAGTTCAGTTGAGCTGGCTGATCCTGGCAGAAACGCCGGGTGGCATACGGAGAGGACGCCCGGGATTGCATGCCTCGAGGCGGTCTGTCGAGATTGCCCTCCTTTGCCTTCACCTTTATATCATCCAAGGGGAGCGGTGGTCTCCATGAATTAGACAAAGACCTTCGTGACTTATATTTTTCTTCCTAAAACCAAAAAACAGGAACAATATTTTGAAAAACAAAAAGGAAGAAAAAAAGAAGAAAATTCAATTAGAATATAACCATATTTAATTGAACTTTGTTTAACTAAGGTAGAAGAGTGAACAGAGATTTATAAAACATGAATTTAAGGGAGGGCATTTCTCTAATTTATCTTCAGTTCAAATTAGCATCACTAGTATTTATAACTTGCTAGTATAATATATTTCAACTAATCACAGTGAGATTTATTGGTATTAGAAGAAAGTTGGAAAGTATCTGACAAGCCTTGTCATAGACAGGAGATTGATAGATATAAATAGAGACAGAGTGAGAGAGAGAATTTGGCATACACTGGGGTCCAGTAATTTTACTTCAAGAAATTTAATATAAGAAATTAATTATGGCTATGTGTATAGCTACAAAAATTCTCATAACAGTAAAAACTTAGAAACCAACTATATTGGTGAGTAAGCAATTTCCTCTCAGCTCCAAACCCACCTTTCTACACTGAGCTTCATGATACCGGGGCTGGCACTCCGCAAACCCCCTTTCCGCTTTTCCAGCCGTTCTGCAGGCTCCACCACTAGAAGGCACTAGAGGGAGACTGCAGACTGGAGGAGGAAGGCGGTACCGGAGGCTTCCAGTTTTGCATTCTATTCTTGTCAGCATCACCCTATCAACCATTCTGCATCTTGGCAGCAGCAAATTGTTCCAGTTTATAGTTTCTTCCCACCATAATCCCAGAACCAGCCTCACTGTGCCCCACTCGGACAAACCAGCACCAGCTGGCCAGAGCCCCATGCTCAGAGATTTGAGTCTAGCCGCATAGGATCCTTCCTCCAAGCTCCAGAGTCACCAGCAATGAGCAGTGTCCCTCCTTAGATGTCTAAGTCCCAGCTTCTCGCCTCTGGATTCTGAGGAAGCAGCCCCTCCGCAGAGATCTGGGTCCCGTTTCCATGGGGTCTAGTCCTCAAATTCTATGCTGTTGATGACCCAACCTCTCCCCTTTGCTCCCGCAGACCCAGGCGTGAAAGCTGCTTCCTGCAGTTACTACCTCCATCACATTAGTGTTCTCCTTTCCTTTCAGTCTTCTAACCCCAGCCTAGCCTTTTTTTTTAAACATTAATCTTTCTGTTAAAATAATAGCTGTGGTTTGTTTTCCTGACTGGACTTTGACTGATATATCAGTTTAGTACCCAATAATAGGAAAATGATTGGCCAAAGAAATTATGATACTTCTGTATGATGGAATACATCAAGCTATGAAAAACTGCCTGGGCCTAAGAATATTTAAGGACACAAGAACATGTTCATGATACAGTAAGTGAAAAAGGAACGTACAAAATAATACACAGTATAGTATGATCCCAATATTTTAAAATTAGAAAAGTATGTGTGTGTACAGAAAAATATCCTCAAAAACATTAGTCATGCTCATCTCTAGATAGTAAGAATGACAGATAATTTTTATTTTATTTTTTGAGGAAGATTAGCCCTGAGCTAACTGCTGCCAATCCTCCTCTTTTTGCTGAGGAAGACTGGCCCTGAGCTAACACCCATGCCCATCTTCCTCTACTTTATATATGGGTCGCCTACCACAGCATGGCTTGCCAAGCGGTGTCATGTCCACACCCAGGATCCGAACCGGCAAACCCTGGGCTGCTGAGAAGCGGAACGTGCGAACTTAACCACTGCACCACTGGGCTGGCCCCAAATTTTCATTTTTATTTTGTCCTTTTTGCTTGTCTGTATTTTCTAATTTTCTAAAATTAATGGAATACCTTTGTTATAAGAAAAAACAGTAAAAGCTATTACTTTAAAAAAAATTAACACTTAGAGGAAGACATATTAAGAGGTTAAAACAAGATTAAAATGGTGGAGTGGAAGAGAAAGAATGATAAGCTGAAAAATTACCATGCACATATATCAAACAGATTGGAGGAAATAGTGGGTAAAATAGGAAAAACTAAAAGCAGATAATGCCTTCCTTAAAAGTAATCATTGGTCTCCCATTATATGCGTTCTGATGCCGAGAGGATTGGTGGATTTGCACAGATTAGTGACCCTTCGCATTCAGTACCCCTTAACCCACAGCCCACATTTTCAAGGTATTTTCCAGGACACCAGGTGAGAATCGAGATGACAAGTATTTGAAGAAGCTTTACAAATTACATTCATTCTCTATTTTGTTCTAGAAAGGATTTTAAGTGGTTACGAAATTACGTACAATAAGGTAAAAGAAACACAGAAAGAAATCAGGGTAAAGAGGAAATTGGAGCTGAACAAGAGTGCCCAAGACCCTTCGTGATTACCCAAGATGGCCTACAAACACAACTCTGAGCTTCAGCCTCAGCAAAAGAAAGAAGGAAACACTACTGCCCATAAGATCAAGAGTACAGTCAAGGAACAACAACGAAAAAGCTAACAAGCCTACTTATGTCAAACTGGTGATTTCAGCTTTTGTATCACTCTATTCCACCAACTATATCATAATGAATATGTGCCAAACACACTCTAACGTGATAGGCTGAACAAATAGTTTGAATATAGAAATTCAAACCTAGCAATAAGTCTTCAGGTTTCTATTCATCCAGTTGCATCTAAACTTGGTAAGCCAAGTTTAAGCTGAAATTCTTTAAATTTGTAGAGAAAATTCCAGACATTTCTATCACTAGCTTCTTCGTTATACTTACCAGACATCTGTTTCTATGCAGAAACACACATTCTCTGATGGCTGTCCTTGTAGAAAACTCTATTTTGGGAGCAATGCCCTAAAAATAAAACAGCATAAAAGAAGGAAATAAAATTATTGGAAACAGGTTCTTTGCCCATCCCATCCTAACCTGAAATCACACAAGAACTTAATTGCTCTTTTGTGTGTTTGGCATAATCCACACGCATTATCTAAAACATATACATAACAAATATATATACAATGGAATATTATTCAGCCTTAAAAAGGATGGAAATCTCGCCATTTGAGACAACATATAAGAACGTGGAGGACATTATGCTAAGTGAAATAAGCCAGACACAGAAAGACAAATACTGCATGTCTCACTTATATGTGGAATCTAAAATAGTCAAACTCATAGAAGCAGAGAGCAGAATGGTGGTTGTCAGGGGCTGGAGGATGGGGGAAATGAGGAGATGTTGGTCAAAGGGTACAGATGTTCAGTTATGCAAGATGAATAAGTTCTGGAGATCTAATGTGCAGCAATGTGACTATAGTTAACAATACTATACTGTATTTTTGAAATTTTCTAACAAGGTAGATATTAAATGTTCTCACCACAAAAAAGAAAAGAAAATGGTAACTAGTAACAATATTAAGTGATGGATGTGTTCATTAGCTTGATTGTGGCAATTATTTCACAATGTATATGTATATCAAAACATCAAGTTGTATAGCTTAAATGTATACAATTTTTATTTGTCAATTATACACCAATAAAGCTGGAATAATAACATATAATATATGCATAATAAGCACAACTAAACACTTATGTAATATGTATTACATGCTAGGCCCTGACCTAAGTGCTTCGCATATATTAACTCATGTAATCCTCACAACAACCCCATGAGGTAGGCCCAAATAGCACCTCTGCTTTGTAGATGAGTAAATTAAGACACAGAGGACCTAAGTAACTTTCCAGCCAGTAATGGCAGAGCTGGTCAATGAACCCACACATTCTAGCTCCAGTGTCCTTATGGTTAGCTACTCCACTGAAAATATTGGACCATGGAAGTGAATGAGATTATGTAGGGGGTGGGATGGATAGAGCTTCTTCTTCCCTATCTACTTGCTTTGAAAAACTTGCTTTATCTCTTATACCAAATATTTATGCTCATTAGATCTATTTCCCAACTCTTCATTTTGTTTCATTGATTGGTACTTCTATCTTTGCTCAGTAGCACACTAAAATATTGTGATTGATATATATGTGTAGGATAGGAGATACATATATATAAAATCTCTCCTATCCTACTTAATTCTCATAATCCTATGAGGAGGGTACAATTATCATCATCAACCCATTTTAGAAATAATAAAACTGAGAAACGGACCAAAACCGGAATCAACCCAAATGTTCTTCATGGGTGAGTAGATAAATTGCGGTGTATCCATATAATGGAATCTACTGATTAATAACAAGGAACAAACTACTGATACACACAACTACAAGGATGAATCCCAGAGGCATTGTTCTGAGTGAAAGAAGCCGGTCTCAACAGGTTACAGACTGTATGATTCCATTTATGTGAGAGTCTCAAATAGACAGAACTATAGTGATGGACGACAGACTAGTAGTTCGGGGTGAGGGGCAAGATGTGCCAACAAAGGGATAACATGAGGGAGATTTAGGGGTGATGGAACTGTTCTATATCCTGATCATGGTGGTGGTTTCACAAATCTATACATGTGTTAAAATTCACAGAACTGTGCATTGAAAAAAGGTCAATTTTACTGTATAGTCGTTTCAAAAATACAATTATTTTTCTAAAAAAGCCTGAGGCTTAGAAAGATATAAAGCAGTTTTCCCAAGGTCACATGGCTTGTAAATGGCAAAACAAGGACAGGACCTGGATCTGTCTCCAACTGACCCCATCCACTCACCTGCAGCCCCTCTGAGCATGACCCTCTGCTCTCCTCTCCCCGAGAGAACACCCCCGAGCCAGGTATTCCTCGTCCTAGAGGCGCCTTCCCCTTCGTCTTTTCCCATCCAAATCCTATCTGTCTCTCAAAGCCTGGCCTCACCCTAACTCCTCCAGGCATGCCCACAGTGACGTCTCCCTCCAGCCTCTAACAGTTCATATTCATGTATATGACATACTCTGAGTACTTCCAAGAAGGATTTGCATCAGCTGAAGCCCAAAGGGAAAGGAAACTGACATGTGCTGCATGTCAACTACATGTGGCTGGTCCTGGCAGGGGCTTTCACACGCGTGATCTCATTTCATCCTCACACAACCTGTGTAGGAGACAACTATATCCCCATTTTACATGTGAGGGAACAGGCTCAGAGAGGCTAAATAGTCTGTCCAATGTTACACAACTGGGAATCGATAAGAGCCAAGATTTGAAACTCTCTTGGACAGCGAAGCCCAACTTCTTTCTAGTACCCCATGCTACCTATCCAGGGGTCCCTGTGGATCAACTCGTCAGTTTGTTTCCTGTGCATTCATTCATTCCTATGCACATTCATCCCTGTGCATTCACCTTGTCTACAGAACAAGTCTTTACAGACACAAGCTACTTCTTGTTTTAGTTTTTTTTTTTTTTGTCTCTAGAATGTACAATATGCCCATAAGAGTGCTAGGCCTGGACTGGTGACTCAAGATTTGTGGCTTATAAACACAAAAGCCCAGTTGCTGCACAGAGTCAGATAATCCAGAAGGGCATTTGATAAAGAACGTACAATGACGTGACCAGCACAGCCTCACCTCTGGTTATCAAGATTGCCCACACGAGGAAGAGGGTAGCGGGAGTTCCAGGGTCCACAGCACCACTGGTAGAATCACAAGACCTCACATGTATGCCAAGCCCCAGGTTCTCCGTGGCCCAGATGCCTGAGCCTGAACAAGTCATCTCGGAAGCCACAGATTTGTGCAGTCTTCTCATTGCCTCATAGGGAGACAGTATTAACCCTTAAGTGACAGTACAGCCATGTTCACTTAACGACGGGCATATGTTCTGAGAAATGCGTTATTAGGTGATTTCGTCATTGTGTAAACATCGTAGAGTGTACTTACACAAACCTAGATGGTATAGCCTACTACACGCCTAGGCTATATGGTACTAATTTTATGGGACCACCTTTGTATATGCAGTCATCGTTGACCAAAATGTCACTATGTAGCGCATAACTGTAATTCACCCAAAGTCACACAGTCACTGAGTGACAAAACCGGAATTGAACCCAGACAATCTGAGTCCACACTTAACCACTATGCATGCAGCTGCCTAACAGATCTTCAAATACCTGATCCACTTTGCCTGGAGAGGAGGAGGGTCCCCTACCAGTAAGGAATGCATACCCTGTTAACACATTCTTGTTGGCCTATATGACCTCCACTCCTTGAAATGACTTAGAGACAATACGAAGGAATGTGCTTTCTTTTTCACAGCAGTACTGATTTTAGCTTACAGGCTCTATCTTGTCCAATCTCCTTAGCAATGGCATGATGGTGATAATGGTGAGGTCAATAAATGGACTTAACAGTAAGATTTTTCTAGAATCATTTCACTAAATAAAGAAGAAAATTATTAAGTAAAAGTTAATAATTTAAAAAAATAATATTCTTTCTGCTTAATTTACAAATTCAGCCTTCACCTAACAAGAAAACATATTATATTAAAAAATATATATACTTCAATTAACTTCATTGTAAGAATCAATACTTTACCTCTAATGCATGAGGATCTTTCCTTGCAGTTTTAAAGCCCTTTCTCTGATGATCACCTGCATTTATGATTAACTATAAACACAACTTTCTATAGGCTCTTCTTCCTACTGATGCCCATAACAGAGATAAAAAATTCAGGGAAGATATAACAAAGTGTTTCTCCTTGTCTTGATACTTAGCTGGACACCAGCCCAGTGTTTGAAGATGGCATTTATTTAATAGAAAACTCAGGCAAACCAAAGTTAATGTAAAGAGTATCCCACACCTTATTCTCATCAGTTTTTATCCCCTTTTAGCTTCTAAAGAGCAATATCTCAATAACTTGAAATAATAAAGGCGAGCATCTCACAAGTACCATAGATATAAGTGATACACAAAGAATATTTCTGAGAAGAAAAATGGTGTCAGTCACATTCAACAAACCCTCAAAGATATGGAGGGCTCAAAGTTATGGCCATTAGTAATTCTGATTAGGACAACTCTTGATGAATGTTTGCTGTTTGAAATATCAGAGCTGGAAGTTGTGTTATCAGAAACATCACAGAAACAAGGGTCCTGCGTGTTACGTATTCCTCATGGCACTCTCAACAAAATGGGGACAGTAACATTTTATTAATTTGTAATAATGGTAATTTATGGGGCAGTACCAGAAAAGTTGAGTATTAAATATGCTTTTATAATTCACAAAGATATGGCCTTTAAAATGGAGGTCATCCAAGTGACATACAAGTTGAGAAAATTGTTGCTGCAGAGTTAGAAATTGTCACAGATAACATCAAAATGAATATTTTGAATTTGGTTTCAGATAACGGCCCCAAAACAGTTAGATTATCAACTGAATAACTGAAGTGTCTTTTCAGATCCTTCAATATATCAGTCTGTGAACCTCTGTCAGTTTTCCCTCCTTTACGTGGAGGCCATAATATCTGCCTTGGCTGACTTGAGAATTGTTATGAGGAAAATAAGATTTCATATGAAAAACTGAAAGTGCAAAATAAATGAGAAGTAGCATGATTACTATTACTACTGTTTTTTATTGTTATTATTACTAAAACAATAGCTATGATTAAATAAACTGATATCAAATCTTTCGGTTAATCTGCATTAAGAGGAGGTAAAAAAAAAAAAAGCCACTTTTTTATAACTATGTGATAACTATGACAATGATTTAGCCTGATTAGGTAAGACTCTCATTTCTCAGATCAATAGGGGAAATTAGTATAATTTGGTATTGTGAGTGGGGCATCCAAACAGGGATGCTAAAATACAACAACAGGGGTATAACCAAGAGGAAGTGATCTGCCCAAGAGCAGGCCATACCAGGAATAAAACGCTCAGGTCGAAAGAATTTCTCTCCCAATAGAAGCCCAGCTGGGCTCAGATCACTTACCGGAAAACCTGCAACCGTCTTCATGAGCACCTCCCTACACATCCCAGGGTGTGAAGGTGTCAGCTTGGGCTCAGGGAAAAGAAAATCCCGTGTGTTTTCTTCATAGTAGGCCAACTCTGCCCACCCTAGAAAGAATGGAGAAAAGGCATAATTAGATTTACATCCTGAAAATGATGTATCAACATCCCTGAGTTGAACAAAATAAAAGCTTAGACAGGTGATAGCAGAGGTGGCACTTAGATAAAAACAGACATTTTGACCACAGCACCCGTTATTCAAGAGGCAAATGACTTCTACTACTTTTTATCTCATGGATAATTTTTTAAAACCTCCCCAAGTCATAATAGAGAAAAAAGACTATCTAAAGGGTTGCTCCACAAAACAGAAGAGGAAGATCTCTTTCATCCATTCATCCATCCATCCATCCATTCATCCACCCCTCCATCCCTCCATTCATTCATTCATTCTTTCCTTCAACAAATGTCTTCTAAGGGCATACCATGGGCCAGGTCCTACGGATGGAACAGGAATAAGGCAGACAAGGCCCCATCAACGCAAAGGTTACAGTGTGGACTAGGGTTCAATGTATTCTGTGATGCAGTGATGTGTCAAGGTCCCAACAGCCCAGAGAAGAGCCAGAGCTGTGGTTCTCAGCAGTGCTGGTACAACCCCAAGGGCATTTCGGAAATTTGTGGCTACATTTCATGGGCAGGAGCCAAAGGTGCTAGAAGGTCCTGGAATGCTCATGATACTCCTGCACGACTTTCTAACATCCTACCAGACATTCTTTCAGGTGAGAAACCATTTTATAATTGTCTGAGTCTGAGGCCCAACTCTTACATATAAACACAAAGCACTTTTTTGCATGATTTTAAAATAAACTGAATTTTCAGGAATGCAGGTACCACGTAAATTAAGGAACAACTGTACTTTGCTTTGTTTGGATCTTTACCAAGACCCTTCTGGCATTTTGAAAATCATATCACATCTAAATACTTCATGTTGCTCAACATTTACATATTGATATACATATTTATTTTAAATTACTTTCCTTTTATTTCTCCCTTATATTACAGCCCGAATATTACATTGATTTTTACAGTGATTCGTGTAAGTTGGGTATATAAACTACGAATATGATTTTAGTATGGTAAAAGTGATGCTACAAATACTCATTACCAAAAGAAGATCTTGGGTCTAATAGGATTGAGAATTACTGAGCTGAAGGATGGAGAAGCTGCCATCTGAGCCCTTCTTGTTTACACAGCAGGTGTTACACAAGTGGTTTGCACTGAGAGTGGCCCCTGTGCACAGCACCATCAAAAGAGTCACTGTAGTCAATGAGGCAGCTTCACTGTTTGGTGGCTGCCTTTTTATTTGTGAGAGGAATTCTGATTAGGGCATTTTTTTGAACATCAACTGTAGAAAATAATTGACTTTGCAGCAAGTAATATGATGGATTAATTTCTTCTAACATTTCGTTTAATATGAATGTTTGGGTCCTAATGAGGAAAGGATCAAAGTGCAAAAGAAAGTATTCTATATTTTCCATCATAATATCATTTTTTCCCACTCTTCCCCTCTTAGACATGCTCCAGCCACAATGGACTGATGATGTATCTTTCCCTCCTCTGCTATGTACTTCCTCAGCTTATGGCTATTCCTTCTCATCCTGTTGAGATTATATTCATCATAATAGGTCCAAAACAGAAAACTCCATTTTTTCCCACAAATCAGCTTTCCCCTAGCCTTCTTCATCAAAGGAACTGGCACCATTGCTCAAGTCAAAAATCTAGGATTTATCCTTGATTCCACTCTTTCACTCCTTACATCCATCCATTAGCAAGTCCCATTGACTCTATTTCCAAAATAAATCCCAAATCTGTGCTTCTCTCCATCTTTACCACCCTAACCCTAACCACCTGTCCTGGAATACTGCCATGGCCTCCAAGCTGGTCTCCCTGAGTCCACTCTTCCTGCACTCAAACCTATTCTATAACCTGTAACACGTCATGTTATAAATACATCAGATCGTGCTTTTCACCTACTTAAAACCTCCCAATAGGCTTCCAATCATATTAGAATAAAATCTAAGAATCTTACCCTAGCCTTCAAGACTCTATATCAGGCCTCTAAGTACCTCTCCTACTTTTACCACTCTCCTTCTTGATCATCCCTGCTGCCCTTCTCACTGTCCCTCAAACACATCAAGTTCGCCTCGATCTTAGAGGTTTGTCCCACTGATCTTCTCCCTGTAATGTTCCTTCCCTGGATCTCTTCGTGGCTGGCTCCCTCCTATTGGATGGTGGGCCTTGGTTTAAATATCTCATCAGAAAAGTGGCAACTCAACCTAAAGAGGCTGCCACTCCCTATCACATCACCCTATTTTACTTTCAATCTAATAGTTATGACTAACTGATATTTTCGTTCATGTATTTATGATCTGCTTCCATGAATGCTCCATGAAAGTAGTGACTCTGTTCTGTTCTGTTCTTTACTAAATTTCTGGCAGGACTGTCCCTAGAAAGGTGTGAGCTCAGGGCAGTTCAGCCAGTACAGGGCCTGGCCAAGCCAATCTCACCTGAAAGGGGGCCATACTGTCAGCATCTTTATCAGGCCCCCTGAGATATAATTAAAGGCAGACATTTTAAAATGGAATTTCAGTGATATTCAGAAAAGAACGGCAAAGTGCAGCATCTTTCACTCTGCCCCTTGGCCTGTGGAACAGTGCCTGGCACATGGTGGGTACTTGAGAAGTGCTTCTTGAATGAATGAATGTGAAGATTAAAATGAGATAAGTTACTTAAGTGCCTGCTTACATTAGCCACTCAATAACCATTAGATTCCCTCTTTGAGACTCAGTTTCCACAACTGTAAAAAAAAGGGAGACAGACTAAATGCTCTCTAAAATCTTTTCTGACTCTTATCAGTAATTTATTTTCAATAATTTCTTTTCATTCATACATTCAAGAAATATGTACTGAGAACTTACTATGGGCCATGAGTTCCAGACTCTGGATGTGTCCTAGTGAGCAGGATGGCTGCAATTCCTGCCCTCCTGGAGCAGTCTACAAGCATTAACCAATTATACAAAGAAACATACAGCGTAAAGGCAGATGGGAAGATGAGTGGAATTCTAAGATCAATCTTCTACTTCATTTACTAGCCTCATCCTGGCCTCCTTTTTTTTTTTTTTTACCAATGCTCCTTTTATAATGCTCCCTACGAAGGGCATGACCTCCCCACCTTTATTGGCCAAACAGACTTCCTCCATTCAGAGATCTCAGGAGTGCAGCCTGAAAATGGGAGGTGATGTGACAATTTCCTTACCCATCACTAGCAACAAAATACAACTTGCTACTGAAGCTTATAGTCCAGTGGTTAGGAACTCAGTTTCTAGATTCAGACAGAGCTGGGTTCAAATCCCTGCTCTACCACTTACCAGCTTTGTTATCCTGAGCAAATGACATAATCTCCTTAACTCTAGTTTCCTCTTCAGGAAAATGTAAAAGTCACAATAATACCTGCCCCTTAGGGCTACTGTGAGGACAAATGACAAACACCTGTGAAGTGCAGAGCATAGTACCTAACATTACCTGCCATTGACATGACTGCTCTGTGACGCCAGCCCAGCAGTGGTCTCAGCACCACTCTGGTCTCTATGAATGTCACGTGTTTTTGGCCATATGCTCCTACTGGGAACAAACACCTCGAAGCATGATATGATGCTCTATACAGTGCACTTTTCTTTTTTCCTTTCATACGTTTTTGGCTGGTGCTGCATCCAAAATGATAGCTCCTAAATTACTACTCCTAAATTTAGCAAGAATTATGATAAACATAAGAGATCAGATAATTGGAGGCAAGCTCATCCACTATATTAAGAATCACAGGAATAAAAAGAGACTGAAATATAGTTAGAGAAGGCTGTGAAGCTTTCCAATTCTGTCTCTCTGATTCGGTCATTTTTTAGAGATTTAAACTGCCACCCAGAGTGAAAGTGTCAGCACACCAAGGGGATGTTACAGCAAGAGGCTGGGTTATAAATAATAAATAAAAATATACACAAACTGAGCAAGTCTCATAGGCCATGTGAAATGTCTGAAAGAACTCAGTGTTCTTAAAAGATTAATGGTGTAGACAGGAACGTCATCAGTGCCATCAATGAAAACCTTCTCCTCAAAAAAGGAAACAAATGAGACTTCAAGAGAAATAACAATTTTAATAATATTAGCTCAAGAAACAACATTTATAGAGCATATTAGAATTGACAGCTTGCTTCCCAATATGGGGTCTCACTTGATTCATCTTTATAGATATAGGAACTGAGGCACTAACAGTTGAAAACACTTGTCATGATGCCACATGATAAAGTAGGAATTCAAAACCAGATCATCCGAGGCAGTTCTGTCCTTGCTGATGCCTAGTAAACATCACTACAAAGTATAAAATCAATCTCTGATTCACAGAATAGGTGCCCACTAAAGTAGCATTTTACAGCTGGACTGAATAGATATGACATCTCAAAGTAGAGGTTCTTATTTAAAAGGTCAATAAAACGAAAGCACCAAGCTCACAATCAATCAGGATTATGCTGCCCCCTTGTGTCCAATTGCTCTTTCCCACCTTTGTAAACTGAAAAACCAGAGTCTTCATTATTTCCAAGCCAAACCATTGGACCTCTTTGGTCATTAGCAGGAAAGCCGTACGCAAATGTGAGGTACTTGTATCATTAACTTAATGGTCACAATACGTCTTTTAACTATAATAAGTGTGTTTGAAAGTGATGCAAAAAAAAATCAAACAATAAAGTAATATCTACAGCAAAATGAAAAGGTAACAATTCAGCCAATGAAGAATTGGTCCCTGAGAACCTAAAAGTGGCCCACGTGACCCCACAGGGCTGTCCACATCAGACTTTAAGCAAATCATTTTTACTTAACTATCTGGTATCAAGAACCAGCAGATCATGAGGGCTCACTGTCAGCATTCTGTGCTTGATGCCACCAGTGTGATACCAGGAAGTGGCACAGTGTAGCCCATGTTCGGAGTACACCCTCAATAAATATATGTTGGACAAATTAATGGATCAACCTGTAATGCATCTGAAGTCGAACAAAAATAATTATTTTGAGAAATTCACATTTAATTCCACTAAAATTATAATCAGAAATTGAAGGACCGTAGACAAAAGGAAAACAAGTATAATAAAGCCTCCATTTTGTATCTAACTTCCAAGTTATAACCAGTATGCATGCACCTAGCTCCCATATTCTCCAGTCATCATGGTTTTGAACTATTCTTGCAGTCTTCTCACAGATGCATTTATGATCATAAGAAAAACATATGGCAAACTAAGATATATTAAATTTTGTTTCTTTTTTTTTTTTAAGATTGGCACCTCAGCTAACACCTGTTGCCAATCTTCTTTTTTTTTCCTTATTCTCCCCAAAGCCCCCCACTACCTAGTTGTATATTACAGTTGTAGGTCGTTCTGGTTCTGCTTGATGAGCGGTGCCATGTCCGCACCCAGGATTTGAACCCGCAAAACCCAGGGCCACTGAAGCAGAGCTTGCAAACTTAACCACCCAGATATATTAAATTTTAAAAAGCAAGTTGCAGAATATGTATATTCAACCAAAATCAAACCAAAATATACACTAAATATACATTTGCTAAATACTAGATATATTTAGTATATATATGTATACATACATGCTTGTGTGTACATATATGTATATATGTATGTATTTTAGGGTTGGTTGAACAGACTAAATACATTATATATACTAAATGCATTTTAAAAGATCTAAAAAGATACACAACACATTATTAATAGTAATTATTTTTGAAGTTGTTGAGGCATGTGGCTTTTGACTTATTTTATATAATTTTGTGTTAGCTAAAATTTTTACAGTCAGAATATTTAAGTATTGGATAATTTTTTTTGTCATATAAAATTAAATAAGACCCAAATTGGCCTGCTTCTCTTTTATTAGCATACTAAAATATAACTTGCCAGTTAGCAGTGATACATGTTTGAACATAAAATTGAGTCAAATAAGAAAAAAAAAACCGATAAAAAAAACGAAATGCGCTGATTTTAGCCTGTCATTTTCAGGCTGACAAACATTTTGTGAAAATTTCTGAAAAGCAGGTAGGAGGCATCTCTGATCTTCCCTGTGTTCTGCCTTCCTAAGAAAGCACTGACATACACAGGAGTGTCTATTCCTATATCCACTTGTCTGCTTTCAGGGCCTGGCTCTGCCAACAAACCAAGAGGCAGAAAAAGAACTACAGACTCTGGGTCCATTCCATTCCTCTGGGGCCCCTGACGTGCTCCCAGCACAGCCCCAGTGGGCAGGGCTATAATCCCCATAGAAGCCTCCACGGCCTCCTCTGCTTTAGCTGAGGCATCTGCCAGGAGCTCACCTTCCTTCTCGAGACCATGCTTTCTTAAGAAAAGGAAAAATTCACACAATAAAATATTAAAATAATGCAATGAAACAGGGGAAATACATATGTATTGAGCATAACTGATCAAAAACTTTGGTAAAAATATCATGAATTTATACTAAAATGCAATGCTAACATCCAGACATCACTCCGCAAGTAATCGAAGGACACTGACAGTCATGTTATACAGAAAGAAAGAAAAAAAAATCGTAATATAGAAAAATGAAAATTTTTTAAAGTAAACTTTAAATTTAAGGTTGTCACAATCATATCTAAAAAGAAGAGGCCAGAAATATAGTAAAATATATTTTAAAGAAATTATTACACACTTTGTAAACACAATCAATGAAATGATAATATCCAGCATTAGCTAGGATCTGGGGATGGGCAGGCACTGTGGAATGCAGCAGAAATAACGGAAACTTATTATCAGTTTCCTAGGGATCAGTTTACTCACGTTGCAAGAGATGGTTCAATCTAGCAATTCTATTCTTTAAAAATATACTAAGAGAAAAAATAATTTTTATAAATATGTGAAAGACACAGAAAATCTAAATGCTCAACAATATCAATTTGAACGCTATGGAAAAATACACAGCTATTGAAATTGACAAACAAGTAAGCCACAGGAAATAATGTAGACTGAAAGAGCAAAACCCAAAATATTATGTACATACTGTTTATAGACCTATAAAAACACATAACTAAATTAATGAAAATAATGATGTAGATCTATGTTTTTAGAAATGACAACATAACAGCGATGTATAATGGGGAAAGCTAATAACAGAAGAAAATGTACGTGACACTATTTATGTAAAAATTCCATATCTATGTGTTCTATCCACAGAGAAACATAAAGGAACATGTTCACCAAAATCATATAAATAAAGGTTTTCTCATCATTTGGAGATGCTTTTTTATAACAAGTAAAAACTGAAGCTATTTTCATTTTGGGGAAGGGAAAGGCAAAAACATAATAGCAAAGATCAGAAGAGAATTAGAAGAGTTTCTGAGTTTTAAGCATTCTTTCTCTTTCTTTCTCTCTCTCTCTCACACACGTATGCAAATGACTCTAAAATCACCAGACGATCTGCCACATTGAGAAACTATGCATGAAAATTGATGCTACCAGGTGGCAGTTCCTACTCTCTGTTTATGACACATCACAATGCAAAGGCACCATAGAACAGTTTCCTCCTAAAAGTCTCATGATTCTAGCACAGGGGTCACAAATTTTTTTCTGCAAAGGGCCAGAAAGTAACTATTTTAGGCTTTGCAGGCCATATGGTCACAACTACTCAACTCTCTCACTGCAGTGTGAAAGCAGCCATAAATAATACCTAAGCAAACAAGCATGGCTGTGTTCCAATAAAACTTTGTGGATGATGAAATTTGAATTTCATATAATTTTCAAATCACTAAATATTCATCTTTTAAAAAATTTTTTCCAACCATTTAAGAATGTAGCAACCAAAGACAGTTTGGCAGTTCCATAAAAAGTTAAATACGGAGTTAACACATGATTCAGCAATTCCACTACGAGGTGTACACTGAAGAGAACTGAAAACAACACTTGAGTAACACAACAACTTGGACACGAATGTTGACAGCAGTGTTATTAAAAAGTGGAAATAACCCAAACGTCTACCAACCAATGAATGGACAAACAAATGTGGTATATCCACATAAAAGAATATTATTCAGCCATAAAAAGGAATGAAGAACTGATACATACTACAACAAGGATGAACCTTGAAAACATGCTAAGTGAAAGACGACAGACAGAAAAGGCCACATATTGTGTGATTCCATTTATATTAAACGTCCACAATAAGCAAATCAATAGAGACAGAAAGTAGATTAGTGGTGGCCAGGGGCTTGGGGAGGAATGAATGAAAAGTGACTGCTAATAAGTACAGGGTTTCTTTTTGGGGTAATAAAAATGTTCTGGAATTAGATAGTGGTGATTGTTGCACAATCTTGTGAACATACTAAACCAACTGAATTGTACACTTGAAAATGGTGAACTTTATAGCACATGAATTAAATCTCAATTTTTAAAAATGTAGAAATTTAGCTCATGGGCCATATTAAAAACAGTCTGAAGGCTGGATTTGGCCCAGGGGCTGTAGCTTGCCAACCCTATTCTAGCATCTAACAGAAAAGATGGCTTTGGGTTATACACACACACACACTCCACAAATTAGAACATAGCCAAAGGCAAAAAAGAAGAAGCTGAGCTAGGACTGAAAAAATTATTTGATGATAATTAGATAAAGTTATGAAAAAATGGGGCCGGCTCCATGGCTGAGTGGTTAAGTTCGCGCACTCCGCTGCGGTGGCCCAGGGCTCGGATCCTGGGCGCGGACAAGGCACGGCGTATCAGTCCACGTTGAGGCGGCGTCCCACATCCCACAACTAGAAGGACCTGCAACTAAGATATACAACTGTGTACCGGAGGAGTTTGGGAAATAAAGCAGGAAAAAAAAAAAAAAAACAGATTGGCAACAGTTGTTAGCCCAGGTGCCAATCTTTAAAAGAAAAAAAGTTATGAAAAAATGGAAAGTAAAACAGCCTGTTTGAGTAATGCTCACCGCCACTAAACCCACAAAGTTACTCTTCCGAAAGTGGACATAATTCAACAGACTGGCGGGGGAAAAAAAGTGAGTGTTATATAAAGCACAACTTTTAAATACCAGTCCCTATTCTGTCACTACAAAATCCTTTTTAAATTAAATTAAGCTAATTTAGAAATGCATTTACTGGCACGTTACCTGGAGGCACTTGCTGTATTAATTCAAACCTGGTTAGGAAGCCTAAAAAGGAAAAAATGAGATTTTAATACTTTAGAAAATTGCCAGAGTTTTTCATTGATTGCTAAGTCTAAAACTGCCATAACATCCTATTTACATTATCAATAATAATAAGTGCCATACCAACTATGACTCAGATAGTTCTAGACCCAATAAATCAAGGGCATGGAGTAAGAGTAACTGAGTTATAAAAACAGCATTTCGTCCCCTTAAAAGTATTGACAAAATGGATGCAATATTTTTTGTCTTAAAAATATATGCATAAATCACTGAAATAACAATAAACTTTTCATGTAAAAATTCAAAACATAATTGTTATCCATTGACCTATAAGTTTATCTTGCTTAAAACAGTATGCTATGTGACTATATAAATTAGACATAAAATACAACATTTTTTATATTTCCTAAGTCCAAAATGTATTTAGAAATAGTGAGCCCATGTACAATGTCTATAAGAAAAGAATAAAATTTCAATCTTAAAAGTAATCTAAAACGTAAATGGTATAATAACAAAAAATCAATAAAGATAATTCCCACACAAGGTTAGAAGTGAAAATATTTCAAAACAGCCTATAACAGTGATTATAGTTAATAAACTGTAGTATACACTTGAAAGTTGCTAAGAGAGAAGATCTTAAAAGTTCTCACCACAAAATGAAATGGCAACAATGTGAGGAGACAGAGGTATTAGCTAATGCTATGGGTGGTAATCATTTTGCAATATATAAATATATCAAATCCACGTTTTCATCTTAAACTTACACAATGTTACATGTCAATTATATCTTTTAAAAAGCTGAAAAAAATATACAATAAAAGTAAAATTCTTCCTTTGAAGACCTGTGAAAAATACATGCATCAGGACAGAATTTAAATGCCAAGAAACTTAAAAGCCAAGACAGCCTATAATTTTAGGTTTTCCAAGTGGAAGAAGGGAATATATCCTTGCCAACCATCACCCCAATGGTAATGTAAGCACTTAATTTGTCTCAGGCTCTAAATTCCTTACATTCAATTAATTCTCAGCACATCCCAAGTTCATGTATTGAAGACTTAATGTTGTTAAAACTAATAGTCCCCAAATTGATCTACAGGTTCATTGCAATCCCTATCAACATCCCTGTTGGCATTTTTGCAGAAATTGATGAGCTGATCCTAAAATTGATATGGAAAACCAAAGGAACCCAAATAGCAAAAATAGTCTTGAAAAAGAAGAACTAACTTGGAGAACTCACATTTCCTGATTTCAAAACTTATTACAAAGCCTTAATAATCAAGATTGTATTGTATTGGCATAATGATAGATAGATGGATCAATGGATTAGAACTGCGAGCCCAAAAATAAACCTTCATATTTACAGTCAATTCATTTTCAACAAAGGGGCCGAGACTATTCAATGGGGGAAAATACTCTCATCAACAAATGGTGCTGGGATAAATGGATATCCAGATGCAAAAGAATGAGGTCCGACACCTACCTCATGCCATTTACAAAAATCAACTTAATAGGTATCATAGACCCAAACGTAAGAGCTAACACTATAAAACTCTTAAAAGAAAGCATAGACATAAATCTTTGTGACTTGAATTAGGCAATGGTTTCTTAATAATGATATCAAAAGCACAAGTAATAAAAGAAAAATAGATAAAATAGAATTCAACAAAATTAAAAACATATATGTCTCTGGGGGCAGCCCCATGGCTGAGTGGTTAAGTCCTCGCGCTCCACTTCGGTGGCCCGGGGTTTCGCGAGTTCAAATCCTGGGCGTGGACATGGCACCACTCATCAAGCCATGCTGAGGCAGCATCCCACGTGACACAACTAGAAGGACCCACAACTAAAAATCCCTAACTATGTACCAGGGGGGCTTTGGGAGAAAAAGGAAAAATAAAATCTTTAAAAATATATATATATGTGTCTCAAAGAACATCATCAAGAAAGTGAAAAGATAATAGAAAGAATGGGAGAAAATATTTATCAATCACACATCTGATATGGGACTTGTATCTACAATATATAAAGAACTTACAACTCACTAATAAAAAGACAAATAACTCACTTAAATATAGGCAAAGGATCTGACTGGGCATTTCTCCAATAAGACAAATGGCCAATAAGCCCATAAACAATTGCTCAATATCATTAGCTATCAGGGAAATGCAAGTCAAAACCACAATGAGATACCACTTCATACCCATGAGGATGGCTACCAATCGAAAGGACAGATAGTAGCAGGTATTGGCCAGGACCTGGAGAAATGGAACCTTATACATTGCTGACGGAATGTAAAATGATGCAGCTGCTTTGGTAAACAGTCTGGAAGTTCCTCAGATTAAAAAGAGTTACCATATGACCCAGCAATTGCACATCTAGGTATATACCCAAGAGAAATGAAAATCCATGTCCCCAATAAAACATGTACACAAATATTTATAGCAATATTATTCATCATAGCCCCAAAGTGAAAACAATCCAAATGTCCATCAACTAATAAATGGATAAACAAAATGTGGTATATCCATACAATGGAAGATTATTTGGCCATAAAAAGAAAGGAAATACTGACACATGCTACAGCAAGGATGAACCTTGAAAACATCATGCTAAGTGAAAGAAGCCAGTCACAAAGGACCACATGTTATATAATTCCATTTATATGAAATATCCAGAATAAGCAAATCTATAGAAACAGAAAGATCAGTTAGTAGTAGCCTAGGGCTGGGAGGGATAAGAAAGAATGGGTATAGGGTTTCTTTCTGTGGTGAGGAATATGTTCTAAAATTGATTATGACAATGGTTACACAACTCTGTGAATATACAAAAGCCATTTAATTCTAATAAATAAATAAACAAACAGAATTGTACCATCCAGTAAATCCCATCTATATCTAGAAAGCATTTGTAATAGAATCAAAAACACAATTCACATTGTACACAGACTCTGTTGAATATAAATATGGATCACACATGGAAGTATCATAACTTAGAAAATAGTAGAATTTTACATCTGTGAATTACATACATACAATAGTCTCTTTTTTTTTTGAGAGTACCTACTTTCTAAAATGTCTGCTACAGCTCCAGGATCTATTGCGTTTTCAAACACCTGCAAGAAAAAAATGGAGAAAATAAATTTTCAAAGTTCTATTAATATATACTTACAGAAACTGTAGATTATATTCTTCCAAATAATTAACACATGTCAAATCCAGCCATATATTATTTAGGTTTCAACAGGAGTAACTTTAACAGGTATGTGGTTAAAAGTTAACAAATGATTACAAAATAAATGGAGAATGAACCCAACACCACCGCCTGAGCCAGCTGAATTTCCCACATGCCCATACTGCCATCAGCATGACCTCCTCCTACAGTTTGTTGCTAAAAGCACATCTGGCATCAACCTCAGAGAACTGTTTGAGAAACCAGGAAAACATCCTGCATACCAGAGATACTCATTAAATGTTGTTAACTGAATGAATGACTTCTCTTCCCAAGCAACTGGTTGGGAAAAAAGGAACATAAATAAAAATTCCATGTGTGACACAAAAGAAAAGCTAAGCGCTAGTAGCTACACTCCCACAGAATCCAAAAACAACTAGAGAGAGGGAGAGCCTCATAAGTTTTAAGTGCATCATGAAGCACAAGAAAAACACTGTGATACCTCTCTAGCCACTGCCAAATGTGCTTATCTTGTCCTCGAGATGAAAGGGCAAAGGATAGGACTGAAATAAAAGGCATACAATGGGGTCCGGCCAGTGGCAGAGCGGTTAAGTTCGCACATTCCGCTTCGGTGGTCAGGGGTTTGCCAACATGATCCCAGGTGCGGACATGGCACTGCTTGGCAAGCCATGCTGTGGCAAGTGTCCCACATATAAAAATAAAATAAAATAAGTAGAGGAAGATGGGCACGGATGTTAGCTCAGGGCCAGTCTTCCTCAGCAAAAAGTGGAGGATTGGCAGCAGTTAGCTCAGGGCTAATCTTCCTCAAAAAAAAAAAAAGGCATACAATGCCCCTCCCGGTGAATTCTAGAACCCTGTAAGAAACAAGAAGTTTTCAGCAGAGTTTGATCACAGGCATTAAAGTTCTGATTTAAAAGGTGTTTAAACTTAAGCATGGTTAAAATCTGCTGCTGATTCAAAGTAAGGTCTGCTTTAATTACAAAAATGGAGGCTGTCCCCTGTAATCCATTTTTGCCTTACTGACTTGGATTTATCGAGCAAATGTGGGTGAGGTTTTTGGGGGTTTTCCCTAAATTATTTCAGTAATTGCATCCCTTCACTTCATCTATGTCTAAAGATTTTCTCAAGTGTGATCTGTGGGAGTAAATGATCCACATGAATTGCTCAAACACAATGGCTCATACATTCCTTATGAGTAATTTCTTGTTTATCCAAATGCTTTAGAACATTCAATCCTGAATTACACAGAACGTCCAAGGAGGAGAAACCTTTTGCTGTCTGCTGCCAGTATTTGCAGCTAGAGAATGGAACAGATACAAGAAAGCTGGAGCCAACTGGAAGAAAGCTGGAACATGAACCCAAACAGCTCACACAAGAAGGCAATTTTTCAAGATATTAAATAATTGCATTTTATAAAATGAGAAATGATCCATGATATATGTTTGACTAGTAATCTCAAATGCACAGCTTTGCAACAGAGCAGAAGTAGCACCTAGAGTATAACTCTGAGGCTCACCTTCCTCTTCCACAAGTCAAGGAGGTTGGACCAGACGACCTTCAAGGTCATTTACAGAGTTACCATTCTGTGCGTCTACAATTTTCTATCCTTGACCTTCTTATAAAAAGATTTGTACATCCCACAACTAGAAGGACCTGCAACTAAGATACAACTATGTACAGGGGGGGTTTGGGGAGATAAAGCAGAAAAAAAAAAAAGATTTGTACAGTCTTCTACAGAAGAAAACTTAAAATTGATAAAATAAGGAAATTCTTGGGGAAAAAACAGACTGGATTTTCACCACCCACTTTTTACCACTACCAACAACTAAATGGCAGAAGTAGGTTCCTTTGGACTCTGTATGCTCCAAAGTTAATATCCATTTATTCCTCTTATCCAAACAGTTTGGTAGACTCTATTTAAATTAAGAGGCTGGGATTTACAAAAATACTACATAGAGCCCTAGCCCTTTAAAAAATCAATCATCTCCTCTCCCATTCTCAGGTCAAAACAGACAGGCCATTTTCTGGGCACCACCATCCAGACCTTTTAGAGTGATAGGCTGTACCCTGGAGCCTTCTCATACTCATCCTCTCCCGGAAAGAACCGCCTCAGTGATCTTGTTTAGGGCAAAAATCATTAGACTTCTCAAGGTTAAAATTGATTCCACCTCCAAATTCCAAAACAAAAACTTGAAAGGACTGTCTGTGATTGCATAGCAATGAAATTAATATTCTAAAGTGGGAAGAAGGTTGGCAATGTTTTGACTACTTACATCATGTTCATATTCCTTGGAATGGAATCTGGCCTTTATCACTGTAGCTAAATAAGCTACGTATGACCTAAGGACACTCAGTAATATCTGAAGAGGCTTCTTGTTTTGTCACAGGATTTCAGAGACAGGATTTAACTAATTTGGTGGTAGTTTTTCGTTATTTTTCTGAGTCTAAAAAGGGCTGTTTACAAGGCCTTCTAGTTTATTGATCATCCTTGTCAGAAATGTAATGCAACTGCCTCTAATACCTCCAAGAATATTCACAAAATGCTCTCTGCTCCAGTTAGAAAATGCCATGGGAGTTCCAAGAATAGAAAACATCGACCAGGGTACTTAGCGCTAGCTTGACACAACTTGGCTCAGACCTGAGATACAAAAGCAATTCCTCCAACTATGGTTTTGCACTGTGCTGAGGCGCCTTCAAGTAATTTTCTTTTAAAGGAAATTTACAAAATAACTTTATAAGAACTGTGTTCTTTACATGAACCATTAAACGATCTTCAGACAGCAAAATCTGTTCTCTATTTAGCAGTGAGAAAGTCACGTTCACCTTTTCAAACCTCATGTTCTGCTGAATCATAATAGGGAACACAGAGGGAAAACAGTCTGTCTCCAGGTATTGATTCAGGAGGTAAACAGCAAGGTACACATCCTGCTTGCCGGGAAGGAACACCCCAGGGCAAGAAATCTTAAAAACAAAGAAAAAAAATAGAGAACAGGGTTTGTTTTGTTTTTTTAAACAGGGTTCTATTTTGCCTAACCTCTTGCAATTTCCCCCACGTCCGCACCCTCTCACCTGTACCTCCCACACCACCACCCTCCCCTCTCCTCCGCTTTCTCAAACTTGAAATTCGTATTTCCTCCCACGTCTCCGCCAGGTGTCACAATCAGCCTCTCGCTGGCTCCTCTCCCCGCCCCTAAAAGATGGCAGTGCGGAAACGGAAGAGACTGCAGGGCCGGGAAGCCTCTGTTTAGGCCGCTCGCCGCGATGCCGAGCCCCCGGAGGAACACCGAAGGACGCCCGCTGGGCGCCTCCGCCTCGAGCAGCAGCAGCAGCCCCGGCAGCCCGGCCCATGGAGGCAGCGGCGCCGGCAGGTTCGAGTTCCAGTCCCTGCTCAGCAGCCGGGCGCCAGGAGGCGACCCTACCTGCGCCCGGCTCCGCGCGTCCGAGAGCCCGGTGCACCGCCGCGGCTCCTTTCCCCTGGCTGGGACCGGGCCATCGCAGGCGCCCCCGCCCGCGCTACCCGAGGATGACCGCATGGACCTAAACCCGTCCTTCCTGGGCATCGCTCTGCGCTCCCTGCTGGCCATCGACTTGTGGCTGTCCAAGAAGCTGGGGGTGTGCGCGGGGGAGAACTCGTCGTGGGGCAGCATGCGGCCCCTTATGAAGCTGCTGGAGATCTCCGGACACGGCATCCCCTGGCTGCTGGGCACCCTCTACGGCCTGTTCAGAAGCGACAGCTGGGCCGGGCGCGAGGTGCTGATGAACCTGCTCTTCGCCCTGCTGCTGGACCTGCTCCTGGTGACCGTGATCAAGGCGCTGGTCCGTAGGCGCCGCCCGGCCCACAACCAAATGGACATGTTTGTGACCCTCTCGGTGGACAAGTACTCCTTCCCCTCGGGCCATGCCAGCAGGGCTGCCCTGATGTCGCGGTTCATCCTGAACCACCTGGTGCTGGCCATTCCACTGAGGGTGCTGACAGTACTGTGGACCTTCATCGTGGGCCTCTCCAGGGTCATGCTGGGGCGGCACAATGTCACCGACGTAGCTTTTGGCTTTTTCCTGGGCTACATGCAATACAGCATCGTGGACTATTGCTGGCTCTCACCGCACAATGCTCCGGCCCTCTTTGTACTGTGGAACCAACAATGACACCATCTCATTCATTACGGCACCAGGAGATCTGAAGGTTTTCACATGCGACAATGCCGACATAAACCAGCAGTCATCCCGCTTGTCCCTCTTAAGACGTTTCAGGCTTCCTTTGGGATTTCAGGCATCCTACCATCTTCATGGGTTGTGAAGTTGGAGTATGTGCTGGCCATTACTGATCACAGCCATATTATGGAAAGCAAAAAAGATCCCTCTACTATGTATTTATTCAACATTTATATCTCCAGGACAACTGCAAAGAAACCAAGCTGGGGTGATTATAATGTTGCTGTGTTTTTAAAAGTTGACCTCAGTAAAATTTGTGTTTTCTAGTAATCCTGCAAATCAACATATCACTTCTAAATTGAACTTTGAAAACGAAACGCCATCTTCATTCTGTAAATATACATGCAGATAAGCCACGTACTGATCCTAGTTCTTTTCCTAAGGTATATTTTAAGCAGTATTTTAAAAGTCTAAGACATAGGTTTTTCTAATTTATTCTCTGAAGATCTGTTGCCACCGTTGGGGAGATTTCCTCTTAATCCTGATTTTCTTAGTGTGCTTTTTCAGTTTATTGTCTCTTCTGGTAGTGAGAAGAGAGATTATAGTACATATCTTTCTTTTCCCTCTAAATCCTCAAAAGATCTGCAAATAGATATTTATTTGCCACTACTCTCTAATAATGTCTTTTAGCATTCAGAGAACAAGCCAAGAACTTACTTGAAGAAGAAACGCTTAAAGGTGGGCATACCTACAGTCCCCATAGAAAAGGAAGGATGGAACTCTGGCTTCATGCTTAATTCTGCTGATAACCAATAGCATGACACGACAGAGGGAGGAAAGCTAAGTGGCTGAGGAGGCCAGAGGAACTGAGAGTTGGGCAGCATGTCATCCTGTCAATGGACCAGTATGGCAGGAGATGGGGCCTGCTGCCCATCATCTCTACTGAATAAAGTATAATGCTCTTCTATTGGGGTAATAAAATGGGGAAATTATTTGCAAAGCATAAGCTTTCTCATATATACCACAAGGATGACCTTGTATATTATAGTTTTTCATATGGAATTCCGTTTCCCTGTATACAGCACACTTTAGGTAAATTCATCAGGGGCAATCTGCTGCTATACCAGGCACAAAGTATAACTAACTCCTAAATTTCTGTTTACATTGACCTTTACATTTAAAGCAGTTTATCCGTGGTGCCTCCCCAAATCACAAGACCAAAGACCACCAAATATAGGGTGGACCCTTCATTATTCTTTGATCAGGAAACACCAAAAAGGGCATGTGCTTTAAATGCTGCTCTACCTGAAAATAAGAACCTTTAAATTACCTGTGGAACTGGAGTCTTCAGATAATCTTAATGATCAATTATTTTGACATTTATAAATAGAAAGCATTATGGCCTTTGATCTGTCATATAGAGCTGCACATAGAAATCCTGAGAATGGCTGCGACAAGTAGGCTCTGATTGGGTGGAAGTGTGAACTATCTGAGTGTGAGAGGCACAATGAAAGAGGAAAAGCTACTCCTTAAAAGAAAATAAAATCATTTACATTCCCATAACATCCTGAACACAGACTACCTCTTCACTTCCTGAATCAGCCAAACCGTGAAGGTCTGATTGGTTTGCTTTATTGTTTCGCCTTTATTTTAATTGCAGCAATATTCAGCACAGATATTTGGGAGCAATGATATATCCTCTTGCAGTGTCCACAAGTCTGAATACTGGGGGCTCAAAATTAGGCTCACTTTCTGGTTCCTGGTTCTACTTCTGGAATTCCCTGTCTTAGTTGCTGAGCCTGAGTTTGCTGGTTTTTCAAGCACAGATCAATTCACCTGCTGTTTTTGGAGCATCGTAAGTACTGTAAAGTGGAAAACTGATTTCACTGTTAATTAATTGTACACTGAAGAATGCCTTTTAAAAATCAAAATAAAATTAACCAATAATGTTGAATGAAGTGAAATGAAAACTTGCTTGGTTTTTGCCTTGATAAGGAGGAAGCCTGATTTATTACTCAGCTTCTCAAGAATTCCTTCATCTTACTGCACAATTTTGACAGCTCACAATTGATATAGTCTGGTCTTGTTTGCTGTCAGCAAAGTGGGACAAATCCAGGAAGTTTTAATCTTTGTTTCAGAGCTGCATGTATGATGACACCAGAGCATCTGTCACTTGCATGGAGGCTAACCAGATTTTCTGGAACCCTAACCTTTCTGCATTGTGCTTGCAATCATGGCCTGTACAGAAGCATGTATAGCTTGGAGGCAAAGTTGCATGATAATGTGTCGTAACTACAGATGGAAAGATTGAAAACTGGAAGCTGAAATAAGGGGAATGACCCCAAACAAGAACGATGGAGTCACTCGGCCAGGGCACCTCACTTAAGCAGGATTCAGTAATTATAAAACAGTCGTTGATTGATGGATTTCCCTCTTGAAATTGCAAACCAGAGCCATCTCTAGGGGAAATAGCTTAGAAAATATTTGATTGGTTCATAAAGGTGGCAAATTATCAGGAAGTGATGGGGCTTTTTGAAATTAAATTCTTCCCTGATTATTTAAAGGCTGGGTTTTTAAGTCCTTTCACAAATCTTTACCCTGGTAAAGAAAAATAAAATCCTTCTTGGATTTAATGCAGGGTTGTTTTAAAAGAACAGAAAATTTCAGGATAAAGCCAAGAAACAAGTTGGCTTTAGAGGGGAAAAAAAAAGTGGGGAAACGTTGAGCTGAATTAAAGGTTAGGAAGTCAGGGAACACCAATGTAGAGAATCTTAGGGACAGGTACGATTTGTCCCAAAAGATAATGATGTATGTGTGGTGAGGTGGGGAGGGGGTGGTGAAAACGACCCGGGACCATTTAAGAACCCCAGGGAAAGAGTCTGATTTGAGGCAAGTGGTGGGGGGAGATTCATCGACGTCTCTTACCGCCCGGATCTGCAGCTCCACCACCACCTCCAGAGGCATCGTTCCCTGCGTGGGCGAAAGAACTGGAATGAAAAGATCTTTTTGTTCTGAGCCTTGGACCGTTTTTTCTTAGTTTAGCTCAAACTCTAGGGCAAATGTTCCCAGCACCTTCCCCAGCCGCCACCCCCCTTGCACCCCCATCCGTCCTCCCCAGCCCAGGTCCCTCCCACCGGGACGGGTCTCACACTACTGGAGCCGGAGCCAAGGCTTCCAGAAGGCGGCAGCGCGGCGTTGCCATAGACACTCAAACGCACAACCTTCCAGGCTGGAACTCGCGCGAGGCCTCAGCGCAGGCGTGCGCGCCCCCTGTGCTCTGCTTGGAACGCGCGGTCCCGATGTCGGCGTCCAAGGCTGTGCGCTCTCGGAGAGGATGGGCGAGTCCTGTCGTTGTGGTTCGTTTTCGAGATGCTGAGAGCCCTAGTTTCCTTTCCACCAACCTTTTCCATCACCTCTCTTTATGGCTCCCAAGCAGTATGTTAAAACGGTTAGTGTGTCCATTCTAAAAGTAGAATGTGATCATAGCTCCAGTATAATTTAAGTACTACCCATTTTTAGGAGCTATACGAGCCCCAAGCCCTGGAATTTCTGTAACAATTCCAATTAATATAGTAGCCTGTCACTAAAGGTACTCTCTTGCTTATTGAATGTTATGTTCTCGTGTTTGATTCGGAAAACATGGCCGTTGTCAATAATAAGAAATTAAACGAGTGCTAATTAGAAATACAAAGATAATTGTTAAAGAGTTTTAAAAGTTAGGTATCCTGTGTTAGCCACAATAGAAACATTTGTCAGTCTCTCTCTTCTGGGGTTTAGTTAACCTAACACAAGCATTGAATTGCATTATCTCCCAATGGGTCGTTACTGCAGTTGCCAAAGCCAGGGTTACACTGTAAAAACCATCACAGGTGGCAGGCAAAGCAAGAATTCTTAACCAGTTGGGAAACTGCTTTTTTTCCCACATCACTGAATTTAATAAACAAAAATGAAGGAAGGGAGATGGAGTGCCTGCTTCTGGGCAATCGGAAAAATCTGGGAGGGCCAATGCTGTCGCTGAAAAACAATCTTAAATTGTGATGGATCAATTATCGCTAATATTTTGCATTAGAGATTTATACAATTGCAGAAATGCAAGTGCAGAAAGATGTCCTGAGACAAGAATTAGATATTCCTTTCAGTAATTGAGTTCCTTTCCCTGGAAGGGAAAGACTCAGCATGATGAAGTGTATATTATGTCCTTATCCAATCCCTGGTGCTTTGTCTGTCTGCATACCAAGGGGCACACCGGTAGGTGCTTGGTTCCCTACAGTATCCAGAGAACTGTGAGTGCCGGCTCACAACAGTTTGCTGGCACCCAAACTAGTATGGGGATATATGGGAATAGGACCTGTGTTGACCCTTACAGGTAAGTGACCAACGCCAATGCTAAGACATCAAGGAGAGTAAAAACCAAGGCAGATAAATAAGTAAGTGGTCAGAGACATATCGGAAGGGAGGAATCAATCTTTATTGAGGACCTGCAAAGTGCTCGGCACACTGCATACACTAACTCATTTCATGCCCACAATAACTTTTTGAAGAAGATGTTATTAACCCTATTTTACAGATGCAGAGTCTGAGGCCAGACAGCCTTTTGCCCAAGGCCACACAGCTAAAGGGAAGGAGCCACACTTGAATCCAGGTGTGCCCTACCACGTCACTGCCCCTGCAACATAGATATCTTATTGGTCCCTAGAGACAGAGTCCCCTCCTAAGCTCCTCCTAGCCTTACCTGGAGTTCCTTGCTCACCTGAACTCTCTTTGCTGTAACTAACTGGACTCTCCTTGGCTGGCACCTAGGGCCCAGCCCTCTTCTGGTTTCCCTCCAACTCTCTGGACGTTCTTTCTCTGTCTTTGTTCATCTTCCTCTACCTGGCTAAGCAATGTTTCCAGGTTCTTTCCTCTCCTCACTCTAACTCTTTGCCTAGGGTGTCATCCAGTGTAGCTATGACCGA